TCCGACTCCATGGCTTCCGCCCACCCCGCTCCCCGCAACCTTCGCGCCAACTCCCGCCACCGGGCGCGCGCCGCTGTCGTCACAGCGTGATGGGCGGGGCGGGGCCGGGCCGGGCCGGCCGCGTGGGGCGGCTCCTCGCGGTTGGTCCTGCCGCCCTCAGCGCCCGGCCCGCTGGGAGCTGCTGGTTTTCGGCCGGTTGCTCGGCTGTCCGCCATCCGTTCGGGCCTCGGGGCGGATTTTCAGTTTTCTGTAGCTTGTGTCTCCGCTTGTTGAACGGTGGGGGTGAATGCGCTCAGAGATACGAATTAAACGTCAGACCTCGTCTCGGTGTTCGGTGTTTCAATTCGCTGGAGCCGCTCAATTTCGCTGCTGCCAGCGGTGGAGAAAATGGGTGGACAGGCAGGACTTCCAACATCTAGAGTGCTGCCACTGCTTTAGAAAGCCTCTCATGAAAGAGCAATGAGCCAAGTGCAGCTTTGGGGACCACGGCCACCTGGAGTCTGTGTTTGATATTTTTAACATTAGCACAGTTTGCAGGAACAGATTGCTGCTTCACACGTGAAAGAGCCGAGTGCAGCCTGCAGCACAGCCTGTGCTCCTCACTACTTTCTGATTTTACTATGGGAGCTCAGCTGTAATGGCAATGCAAACAAAACCAGCATCTCTCAGGAAAAGCATCTCTAGCAATATGTTTGTATTTATGTATTTCTTTCTTGTTATGTCATTTTTAATGCCATGCCTGTTCCTGGTGGGAGAATTAAAGGGGAGTTGAAAAGGCTGACATTTGTAAGAGCTGCACAAACTGTTTAAATAATGCTAAAAGAATTATTGCAGGTGGTTATCTCTGTTTGTATTTGATAACGCTACTTAGAATAACATCCAGCAGAGCAGTATCTGCTTGCAGGCTTGTGACACATTCATGTTTCTTGGAAGGCAGGAGTTTATTAACCCTTCACAAAAAGAAGATCGTGGTACTTGTAAGGTACTGTTACTCATTTCTGGTCACAGCAGGGGGACGATTCTCTCTTTCTGTACTGCTGTGATACCACTGCAAGTCCGAAAAATGTGCCCTGCTGCAAGAACAAACCTGAATACCCTCTGATATTATGTGTGCTTTGCAACATAAAACCAAGGCAGAATCCTTACCGATCCTATAAGTGATCATGGGTTATGTTTTAAGGGCATATTATCTTACTGAAAGTACTGTGTTGGTTTTTTTTCTTTTTAAGTAACAAAAGTTCATTCAGTGTCATCACCCTCCGTACAACTAAGATAAAAAATAGAAAACTTGAGTTGTTTTCTACCTTTTTTGAAAGAATGTTTGACTTTTCCTACTGATATTTTCCAAAATACATGAAAAAGTGTTGAGATGTGAACTCAAGCTCTTGGCTTCTTCCCTGTGGAACAAAACCAATCTTACTGTTGTTGCAATGATCAGTGAAGACCTTTTCATGTTTAATGAGAGGTTGTTTATAAAGAAAATACACCTTCTCATATTGGTAAGTGAAACATAAGATTTGTCCACTTTCCTTTTGTTAATATTTTCTAGTTTCTTTTAACATTTTTGTATTCTAATATGTTGGTTCATTTTGGAATTGAAACAAAATTTCATTGAAACTATCTTCATGTTTTATTCACTGCTGTACAAAATTTGTTTTAAATTTTAGGAAATAATGAAAGTACAAAGCAGATAAACTTGCACCATAGCCCTGATACACTTCTGAAGTCCATAAAACAATGTTTCTCAGCTGTTTTAGGGCCCAATACATGTCAGTCACTTAAGAAACCTGTATTATGTATCATGGAATACAGATATTCTGAGCTTTATCTGTAACCAGAGAACCTCAGAAATTAGGAAGTGCCTTAATGAATACAAGTATCATAGTGCTGTGATTAGGAAAACACAGCAACAGAGTTTCCTTCTTTTTTTCATAGCACTAATAAACATTAAAATATTCATTTTCTAGATGGTTGACTATATTTCATGTGAATCCTGTAGAGAATATTCTTGTTATTAGAGTCCATATTAAAAACAAAACAAAACAAAACACAAATTTATCTCTTTTTCAAAACAGGAATTTGTGTTTTGTTGCAGCCCAAAAATTCCAAAAGTTCTTTGTAAATCTATGATCTAGTTTCTATTGACATTAGGCTTTCTATAGCAGCCATTGCAATTACGTGTCTTTAGAAAAGACTTTTATCCCATCTCAAACAGTTTTTGCTGTATAAGGTGAAGATAAGTACACTGTGGAAGACAGTTACATAGGTTGTGCTTTTTTGGAGCCCTCACTAGGCCTGAGCAGCTGATGCTAATGTAAACATCACATTTTTTTCTAAGTGAACTTTCAAAGTCTTTTCTCCATCTTCATTTGAGTATCTAGGCAGAGTGTCCTCACTCACATATGCTAACACTGCATGCATTCAAATTCACGTGTTCCAGATTTCTACAGATCAAGCCCCATGTTTCCAAGCTGAACCCATGAACTGAGAATATGTGATCAGTGTTCAAGTGAAAAGTTGGTTTCATAACTGGAATTGCTTAATCAAGACAGAAGCAAGAATAGAAATTTGACAGATGAGAACTGAGCTTCCCAACTAATGCAGCGTCAATGGCAGATGCCCTGGAGACCACAACCTCTCCCAGCCTCAATTCATTCCCAAACCAAGGTTATTAAATGCACGGTTGGAGGCAGGAAACCCCACTGTGGACATCCACAACAGCATTAGGGCTGGAGCCTGCTCTGACTTTGCCACCTGAGCTGGTGCAATAATTAAATACTGCCTCTTCTCTTCCCCTCCAGCTGCACCCTCTCTTCTCAGCAGTCCCTGATCACATCTCACTTGGCTGTGCAAATTGTTTTCTGATTTAGCAGTCACAGTATTTCCTTCCCCCAACTCTTTGCTCAGCTAATTACATCTCTCTCAAACTCAAGTCACTATATGATTCTCCCAGTTTGCTTTCTTTTTATCAAGTAACGTTACAGACTAACCAGTTCAAACGACAAAGCAAAAAGAAAATAAATTCAGTCATTTTCAGACCTCGATTAGGGCATGCTCCAAGTCACATAGATAATAATGAAAGAAATACAGTTAGTAACTTAATTTCAATTAAGCATCTGGGAGCACAAGCCTCTGCTGTGCCCTTTGCATCTCATGCAAATACACCACACCATGTTTGAAATAAGGTGCAAGCAGTGCTAGCCCTGCTGTAGTTGCTGGGCAGAAGCCTGTCGTTTATACTTTGTCAATACAGTCACCCCAGTGCTTTGAGCTTTCATGTGTGCTTTGAGCTCAAGCACATGTTGGTCATGGTATCTAACTACTTTAGCGTTACAGCATTTTTAATGACTTGTATTTCAGTTTTGCTTCACAGTACAGTACACACAGTTGAAGCTTTTAAATGCTAAAACAGGTGGATTCTGTTCATGCAATAACTAATCCAATTAATATTTCAAATGCTATTCCATATAGTAAAAAAGGAACGTGGCAGTGTATACTGTAGATCCACTTGGTACAGGTCCTATTTACACCTCCCTTTCTCAAACTGCCTTTGTAGGATCTTTGCTGAGAAGCAGGGAACAGGTGCTGAGGGAGTGCTGGGTCTGCACTGTTGGACAGATTGACCTTAGGTGAGCAGCTGCCCTGCCACTGGAGATCTGCAGTGAAGATGTTAGTGGGAACTTTCTCCATCACCTAAGGTGAAACCGTCTATTGTGAAGGCGCTGCTGAGATATGCTTACAAGGGTGCACTGAGGTAGATGTAGTTTTTTGTTGTTTATCTCATAAACAAATATATAAAATGTCTTCCATCTTCCACTGTTTTAATTAAACTGCACGTATGTCAGAATGGCATTATGCTATGCTAGAAAAGACACCCGTGCTGCTTGCAAACATGCTCTCACAGACAGCAGGAACAATAAAGCAGCCGTAGCCCAGCTGCCCATCTAGACTTTCATCTCCTGCATGTCAGCAGGGCTAATTCATCTGAGCACAGTGCTGTACCTACATGGTAAGTTGTTCCATGCTCAGATTTCAGCGCACGACTGTCTTGCAGGTACAGATCCATTGCTATCCAGCAACTCTGATTGCAGCGTGAATACATTTTATGTGACTGTATCTGAAGAAATCAAGACTGGCAGGTATCAGCCTTACGGTATTTATTAAATTTACCAAATCTTCACATGCATAGTTTAGCTGTAATTTGAAATATGTTAGAAGATGAAACTATAAAATATTATCTAGCTGCTCTGCAAGATATTCCCTGTACTGATGGCCCAGCTGCAAGGTTATTAAATTAATAACAAAATAACATCTTTCAAGCCTAATTATCTTTGCTAATTATTTTTATTTAAAGAAATTAAGGGAAATTGCTTAAGGACTAGAACAAACCCGTGTTAATTTTGTACTGATGCTGTACATAGGGCTGTACATAGGACTTCTATAAACTATAACAGCAGTTGTGTGTATTTGGAATAAATTTAGCCTTGCCTTGTGTTTGGATGTAACTACTGGGATATGCATATGTATGTTACAGTCTCTTTGTAGGCACGATTCTGTCCTGATTCTAGAAATAAACTGTATACTAATGCTGTATGTTACATTTCTTGCAGGCAAAATTAAACTCTGGGAAAAGACCCCCAAGCCCTTCCGGCACTCTTACAATTTAACATGTGAGTCATTAAAAATTTTAAATCACACTTTAATTGAGGACTTTGTAATTAGAATTCTGTTTCTTCCTCATTTCCTTGAAATACAGTTTCAGGAGGAACAGAGAACCGGACAGCTTCTTAGCACCCTGCCAACTGAATGTTCCCATGCGAGTGACCAGGCTTTTTGTTTCACTTGGGTAACCTATTTTCCTGCAGTAAGAACACAGCCGAGGTGTCTCAGTGACCACACAGAGGCCACCTCCCTAAAAATTACGCTGTTCTCTGACCCACCCCAGGTCTCACAGTTCAGGCTAATCATTGACAGGGCTTTTACAATCACAAGCTTTTAGTGAAGCTTTGATAAGACACTCCAGCATTTAGCGGCAAGTGAAGACAGCCTGCACAGCAGGGATTCCAGGGAATGAATGGATTTTTTTCAGTCTTGGTGAAGGGAATCTGACTTTTAATGCTGGCGTTATAAAGCAGCATAATGCGTGGCCGACAGCTGAAGAGATTTGTTGCTTTTTGGACATTAGTTTTCATAAGGATAGTTGCTGGGCTTGCCGGAGAGGGAAGATCTGTGTGGAAAAAGGACCCCAACTCCAGTCCTGTGAGTGAAAAACATATGTTTTTGTATGACACATTCCCCACAGAGTTTCTCTGGGGCGTAGGGACGGGAGCATTCCAGGTGGAAGGCAGCTGGAGGAAGGACGAGAGAGGACCCTCCGTCTGGGACCGCTTCATCCACGCGGAGCTCAGAGACACTGACAGCGCAGATGTTTCCAGTGACAGCTACACCTTGCTGGACAAAGATGTGTCAGCTCTGGATTTTTTAGGGGTTACCTTTTACCAGTTTTCAATCTCATGGTCAAGGCTTTTTCCCACTGGAGTGGTAGCAGCTCCTAACAAAAAAGGACTCCAGTACTATAACACCCTTATTGACTCTCTGATCTACAGAAATATTGACCCCGTGGTTACCCTGTACCACTGGGACCTGCCCCTGACACTGCAAGAACAGTATGGGGGATGGAAAAATGAATCAGTCATTGATATCTTCAATGACTATGCCACCTTTTGCTTCCAGACCTTTGGGGATCGTGTTAAATATTGGATTACCATCCACAATCCTTATTTAGTTGCTTGGCATGGCTATGGCACGGGTATTCATGCTCCTGGAGAGAAAGGGAAAATAACCACTGTCTACGCTGTAGGACACAATTTGATCAAGGTACAGTATAATAAGGATTTACAAACTAATCTTGCACTGTCATGGGAAGTAATGGGAAAAATCAATCATGTAATCTATGTTAAAAAATAATAATGAAGGAATGTGAAAATACCAAGAAATAGCCCTCAGCTAAGGCAGTCTTTAAAAGAATATTTTTTTAATCTCCACATTTATTTCATTGTAGTCTCAGCAGCTGACTCAGTAATTGTTTTCAAGTGCTTGCTTATTTCTCTATTTAAGTTTCTTACAGCATCTACCTATCAAAGATCACGGGTTTCCTTCTTTATTCTTTTCTTTTAGTCACAGTGAAATGACTGTTCTGTCATTCAGCCACACTAAAATGACTATTCTATTAGCTCATGCAGAGATTTTTTTTTCTATTTGCATATGGGATCAATTCTACTACTAATAGAAGATATGTTTATACAAATATGATTAGTTCTGGCTTAGTAAGATCATATTGCGAAATGTTTATCACTGACCTAGCAAGGTCATCAGTTCTTGGTTTTGGAAGATAACAAACATCCCCTTTACTATTTAAGAGTTTCAAAATTACATTATTTCCATAGCAATTTCTGCATTTTCATTTTTATGTGAGTGTTATTTTATGTATCAGCTTTCTTCTACAGAATTAGACATCCAATAGATTTGATCCTGTGATCAGTAGCTTCAGTAGCTTCAGTACTGGGTCCTAAATTCATAATATTCTTTCTTTGAGAAGGGCAAGAAGAGGAGCCTCAAGGTTATATTTTTAAAGAAAAATGTAGAGACATTCATGCTAATATCAAGAACTTAACAATTTACAGCATCTCTGATTTCATTCCACAGAGTAGCTTGTTCATATGCTTAAAAGTTTATATTCTTATTTTCTTGCGCTGTAATTTAAAACAATCTCTGACAACAGCAGTTTAAGATAATTAACAATATAAATACACCTTTTTTTTAATTTGTAGTGCTCGAAGTACTTTAAAGAGCAAGTTGTTGTCCTGTCTGCTTGATAGAGAAGCCAGTATAATTCTCCATGCTCAAGCAATTCCTAGCTGTCATAGACCTTTTCTACTGCCTACCATACATTATAAATGTAGTTAACAAAAAAATCTGAATGCATTTGTTACACAGAAAGAATTATGCACGTTGGGAAATATTAATTAACAGTGTTTAAAGTTTTCTGCAACTTCTATTTCTTGTATTTGCTTCCGGGCTTGAGCTGGAGAACATCTTTTTTCAGAAAAACTCGCGCTGCAGTCAATACAAGTTTTACACAAAAGAGTCATGAGGTGTCCAGATTCAATAACTGATTTCAGACATAGCACATGAATTGACTTAGCTATAGAGATTTGTGAAGCATCTCAAAGAGAACTGATGCCCAATCACTCTTTTTGTTTTTCAAGTGCTATGTAAGATATTTGATACAATACATGTAAAGAATGTAATGCAAGTGTGCAGTATGGCTTGCCTACATTTCTGAGTGGCACAATTGAAACTGGACTATCAGCTCAGCAGTGTCTGCATTTTTCCACAGTATGTTTTCCATATAAACACCACATAGCACAAAGAGAGCAATACCTCCACTGAAGAATCAGCTGAGTGTGCCAGGAAGCCAAGCAGAGCCTGATACACGAATTACTAAGTGAAGTTTCTTAGTGAAGATTATTGAACTCAGACTTGTTCATTCTAGCTTTAAAATCTATGCTTCTGAGCATAAAACGAATCACTAGAAAGAAGCATTTAGTGATACTCTGTGCAACACACAATATGTTATTCTTGAGCAGAAGTTATTTTCATGTTGTATCTTTCTCACAGCACTGTGAACATTACGAAATGTATTAGCAGTTTTCTCCAGTGGCACTATAAAAGTCCTGAAGATTTCAGGTCTTCTTTACAAAGAATTCTAAATTTGTAGTGAAGCATCTGGAGTGTAATGTTTTGTGGTTGGAGGTGGAATTGAAACTCTTGTGGAAACTGTTGACACAAGTCAACACATCTTATATATATATATATGTAGATATTTCTTAATAAAACATAGTTAAAGCCAGCATACCACGTAAGACATGAATGGTATGCTTTTCAAGAGAGGTAGCCATAATCTGTAAGAAATTTACTTTAATTCTTAACTAACAACTTTAGTAGATTGAAGAAAACGAACAGCTTAAAACTCAAATAGTTAGTTGGGGAAAAAAAAATCCACACATTTTAGAACCATTAAACAATGATCTGCTTCCATGAATGAAGGTCATTAGGTAAGTAATTACCTTATGAAGGATTTTCAACAAAAGAAGGATTTATCTGTTCTCTTCAAGCTCAGGAGACATGCTGTTCCCAGCACAAGGTATTGCACATCCTGTGTCAGCTGTTGCATGTGCTTTCTTTCTGTGGTTTGCATCCTTCTAATGAAAAGGCACAGATGCACCTTTTAAGAGCCAGCCCTCTTGTTATTAAAGACCCAGAAATAAAGTCAGCTACTGAATGCAGAAAGCAAAGGTTGCTAAGCAGTGCGCTTGGGAGTTCTGCGTTCAGAAAACAATATATAGATATCGATGTTTCCATCTGAAATATGTGCCTGTATATATTTTACACAGTGTATCATAATGCTTCTCATCATTATAAAAGATCTGGTAGTATTCACATGGAAATGAATAGGAAATATGATGCTTGAAGCTTTTAAATTACAAATGGCTAAGATTCTCACTTAGGTGAATCTCTAGTCAATCAGATGGTAGTCACTAATAAGAGGAACAAGTGAAATTGGATACCACATGGAGACAGTCTGCATCTCCTTTTTTCATTAACAGGGACTGTCCTTCACAAAAGCAACACTGGAACACAGTGAGGTGTAACTTGCCATGTGACACTTGAAAGACATATCAACAAAATACAAAAACAATGAATTAGCTTCTGAGGCACTACGGAGGTAGGGAAGAAGAGACTGCACACAGGAAGAAAAAATAGATGCACTTCTTTGATTTGATAGTAGTTACATTGAAAAAAAGCAGGAAAATACAAAGCAGTTGAATCACTGTCACTGGAACTAAACAGATACGTATCAGATCAATTATCACCATTTTCTGTAGATCTAGTTTTGTTCTTCCTGTTTCTTAGCCTGAGGTTTGTAAACACTACAAACTACAGACCAGCTATCTTTTCATCTTCTGTATCAGTGCCCTCCAGGCAGTTCTGTCCTTGCTGTGACAGGCAGAAACTTTTTGTTTTTGTTTAAATACTGTGTTTAAGACTGTTCACATTCCCTTCCATCTTGCTCCTCGATGAAAAGCGCAGGAGAGCACTAGCAGAACAAGGAAATCATGCCACAAATTTTTTTCATTGACATGTCTTAATAACACATTCTTGGAAAAGAACACACAGGATGTCTACACAGAGATCCATCACATCACAGCTCAGGTTCCTCTCTGTGCCTGGCTGAGTTACTCCTAGCTCTCTGGTAGCAGTTCCTAGCCAGGATCTCTTCATGGACACACTATTACCTTTGGGCTCTTTGGGTGAGCGTGTCCCAGAGAAGTCCCATAATTCATTCTCTTTAAAAACAAAATTTCTGCTGAAGGAATCAGGAATCATTTTATGTCTAAGTCCACACAGGCACGTTTTGCCCTGTCTCTCCTCAGGACCTTGAAAGATGAAGCTATACCAATGCTCATCTTTCTTACAACAGGAGAGAGATTGGTGTCCATCAAGTACGGCCCTAGAGAGACAGCAGAATTTTTATGCTTACAAATGCCACTGCCGGAAGATTTTTCAGTGTCAGTCATCAGAGATGAAAGTACTTTACAAGGTTTGAATGAGGAATGATTCACATTTTTCTATACAATTTGTTGTTTTCAAGTTAGCTTACTTACAAGTTAGCTTACTTCTTGGAAACCATCAGGAAACACGCAATCCAAGTGCAGAACGGCTAACACTCATCAAATTCCATCACCAAACTTTCAAACCACCCCTTTGAAAACTTGGTCACTTACATGTCCACAGCCCTTTTTTCCTCCACAAGGACTCAGCTTCAGAGTCACTTTGCAAAAGAAAGGCGTTATCTCTACCCTGACCACAGGGCATCTTTACCACAGACCAAAAGTGCCTTGAACCAAAATAAACTCTCCAAATAAGCCCCCCACACCTGCTCTGCTTCTGAAGTGATTTTTACAGTCACCATAGACTGTCTATTCTAGCTCCTCATAAACAATTAAACACAAAGGGAGAATCTCTTTATTAGGACTTCTTAAAATTCTCTTGCTGGCCAGCATGCAGAAGTAACTCCACATTGTTTTGTGTATTCGATACTGAGATATTCTATGAAAGCCACTATATTATAGCAAATCTTATGAATCTGAAAGTGTCGGTATTTCCATGATAAGCTTTTTTGTCTATACAGAAAATAATTTACAGCAGCAGAGTTTGAAGGAGCATGAGAACATTTCAAGAGAGAACAACACTGTTGTCTTTCTTTTATTAAATTGACTTATTCTATCTAGCCTTTTTGCAGGGTTAATACTAACTGGCTTAGCACTCTTGTGACTTTGAAGTCTATGGAATAATTGCTACACTAATGCCAGGACAATATGCTGAAATTAATGTCATACGTATCTAGAATAAATACCCATTATTTATCCTGCTTTCACTGTGTACTCAGCCTTGACATTTGTCCTTGATCTAACAAGGAAAGTGAAAGATTAGGGATTAAACTGTAACTGAAAACAAAAGATTAGTCAAGATTTACTCAAAATAGTAATTGTAATGTATGATACAGCTTTTAAATCAATGTTTATTTCATGTTTCATCTTACAAAACAAATGTTAATTATCAGCTGGTTCCATCAGTAACAGTTTGCAGTTAGAATAGATCCTTCACCTGAGAATGCTAAGCTGCTTCACAGACAATTAACAGTTTGAAACAGAATTATTGGCAAGCAAAAGCTATTAAATCTACAACAACTGCCACAACCTTCAATAGACCACTCACATTTTTTTTTAATTGGGACAGCCCTTGGAATTAGAAGACATCAGTGATGCATATGAATTTGCGATGTGAAAATCCTACCTTGACTCATGCTAGACGCACGTATTTCCATTAGAGTTCTGCTCTTGTAGAATGGCACTTGTGGCTGCTTTCACACCTGCAGACAGTGTTTTAGTAGTAACTTTACTTTTCTCTAATCAACTTCCTGAAATTGCACATGCAGCTAATGAAGTCTCCCTGATAGTCTTTCACCTGTCGGTAGTGTATTTGTAATCGGTTGTTTTTTTGGCAAAGCCTTCTTACTCCGCTTTATTTAGTAGTACGGGATTGCTAAGATATAGCGGATGCCCCCATCCTGCTACCTGGTTGTATGAATAACACAGCTGACTTGAGCAAAGTTTTTCTTGTCAAACCAACAGGAACTTGTCTCTTTCATTAAACAGGTGTTAGTAGGCTGCGTCTGGGGGATAATATTCATTCACCACGTAAGAAATCAGTAGGGACAGGCAACTACAAGCTAACACCAGAGTAAGGCTGGCTCTAGCAGCCATTTGGGGCTGGAGGGACCTCTGGGAGGGGACAGTGAGGGTAACCGAGGGGATGGCACTGGCCACATAGATATTCTGATAAGACTAGTAAGAAATCCCTTTTGTAATATTATAACTGCAGCCTTCAGTTTTCTTCATGAGTACAATTTTGTTGGCCTCCCTTTAACCTCCATCTCAAAGGTTAATGTTGCTTTATCAGTACTTTCAAAGACAGACCTTGAACGAATGTTACAAGCATGACCTTAGAAACCATAAACTGATACACAAAATTTCACAAGCTGTCATTCCACAGTACTCCTGAGTTTAAATAAACACCTACCTGACATCAGGCCTTTTATTCTTTTTTTTCTTTTTTCCAAGCAGTGCATTTCTAGATAAACTAGCTGAAATTATTGTCAAATGTAAGCAATGCTGTTTGGCTTTCTAATGTCAATCTAACTCGTAGAAGTGTTTCACAATATTTCTCCCTGTTTTTCTGGGTGCAAACAGTCATTTGCTTTAAAGCTTAGTGTATAGAGCCATACTTGAGGAGCAGTGTAAACCCTGAGTTACTGGACAACTCATCAGCAGAGGGAGGTGTCAACTCCTCTCCTCTCTCACATCCATCTCCAGAACATCCAGAGCCATCCTTCTCTGACACGTGCAATCTCCCATTTTCCTGTACAGGACTCAGAACAATGCTAGAGGCTCCTAAATCTCCAATGCATTTGCTTCAATGCACGGACTATAAAAATTTTGACTTATGTGATCTCTTAACTAAATAATTAATGTGACATTCAAAGGTAATTCCAGTGTGTGACAATGTTAAGCTGTCTAAAACGCGACGATGATCTGAAAAATTGAATTACAATGCAATACAGGGTATGTTTTCATTGCCACTAATATACTTGGCAAAACTTGTGTCTGTCCTATAGAAGGCATTGATTGGCATCACCTTAACGCTGATACGTGCCATAGCCAATAAAACTTGGGAAATGCAGCTGTCAGATTTCCTTTCAAAACCAAAGTGGTGCTGTTGTCAGAATGAATACTTCAAAGGAATAAACTTTATTCTGTTCTGTTTTATGTACTGTCAGGAAAATTGTAATTATAGCAACTTCAAAGAAGAAATGAACTGTAAGCCTGGATCAAAATTCTCACACTGTGAAACAACATTTTGTTTCAAATTTTTCAGCTGCAGCTTAGAGCTTCCTCCACATTTTGTACATAGATACTTAAAGTGGAACACTTGTATAATTAGTGCAAATTCAAACAAATGGAAGTGCATCCTAAGAACAGAACAGAGGAACAGAGGGGATGTGGTCTGATCACAGCAAATTCAGGTAGCCCCCATAGCACAAAGTCAATCAATAGCACAGAGCCAACACTGACACAGGAGACATAATTTGAGATATATAATTAATGTAAAATCTGTAATTACAGTTTAAAATTTTAACTCTATCAACAATTAGTACTTTACAAAGAAAGAACCAGCTGGGACTCTGCAGATCACTGATATCCCACTGTCGACAGCTGTTTGGTCTAAAATTAGCTGTAAGAGCCATTTCACGTATCTGCTGGAACATCTAACCTTCAGACCTATATCAAAAGGCAGAAAGCCAAATGCATCATAGCAACAGCACACAGGAGATGCTGAGCATTACCACCATCTAAAGACCTTGCATCTCTTCAGGGTGACTGTTGTACCTTAATCATTCAGTGATATTGCCACAGAAGTCTGCAGAAGATCAAACCCAGCTACCTGTCTGGCTGGCTGCCTACACAGACACAGAGTTATTAAATAGCAGCAATTCAACCTTGTTTTTCTTTTATCAGGCTCATGCAAAAGTCTGGCATAACTACAAGAAACACTTTCAACCGTATCAGAAGGGACTGATGTCCATAGTCTTGGGATCCCACTGGATCGAACCCAACAGATCGGAAGACACTTTGGACATTTCTAAATGCCAGCAGTCTGTGGACAGAGTACTTGGGTGGTTTGCTAAACCCATCCATGGGGACGGCGATTATCCAGAAGATCTGAAAAACGAATCTTTTTTGCCGCGCTTTACTGAGGATGAAAAAAAGTACATAAAAGGAACAGCTGACTTCTTCGCATTTTCCTTCGGTCCTGATAACTTCAAACCTCCAAACACGCTACCGAAAATGGGACAAAACTTGTCGCTCAATTTGAGGGAAGTACTGAACTGGATTAAACTGGAATACGACAGTCCTCGGATCTTCATTGCAGAGAACGGCTGGTTCACTGACAGCCACGTGAAAACCGATGACACCACTGCCATCTACATGATGAAAAACTTCATAAATAAGGTGTTGCAAGGTTTGTGCACAACTGAGCTGCTGGATTCTTTTTGGGATTTTTTTTTGTTAGGAAAATTTTAAAGATAATTTAGCTTTTTTAAGGATTTGATCTTTTTTTAAAAGACTTAATGGCAACTAAGTTAATTATTAATTATTTCTACTGCGTAAGTACAAGCCACAGATCAGGATCCACTGGTGGTAGTGTTGTACAAACAGAAAAAAATTAGTCCCTGTCTCAGAAAGCTAAAGTCCAACATCTGGGTACAAAAATGAGCCAGAAATGAATGTAACTAAATACATTGCATATCAGTTTTCACTAACGGCAGCCTGAGTGTAAAATCTTTGTGTGGGCACATACCTTGACAGCAGGAAAATAAGGCAGTGACAACAGGCTGCCATTGTCATGCCAAGCCCCTACTTCAATGCCAAATGCATGGAATTAATCAGCAGAAGGGCAATCATTCTTTGGGATTACACCATGCCAAGCAGAAGATAACGTGTTTTAAATACACAGGTGGAATATTGGTATTTTCACTCCAAAAAGCCAGAGGGCAGGATCTGCTCTCTGAAGACCAAAGATTTAATTTTATATAAAACATTAATGCTGTTAATATCCAAAGCCTCTGCAAAACCTGTGTTTTTCCATTTCGGTGCTGGGCGGTAGGAGACACCTCTGGCTTGGGTGCCAGCCTCAGCTGAGGCCATGCCCTCCTGCACCACTCACTGTGTGCCATGCTGCCATGGTGGGTGGCCTGCATCCTTCACAAAAACATTTCTAACCCTCAGCAAAGGGAAAAGATGTGAAATCAGAATGTCTGATTATCAACAGACAAGATCAAGCTCTTAATGAAGGTTGTCTAGATAAAGTTGTTCCAAACTGTGAACTTCACATAGCCCAGTATACATGACATAGCCTGATTTGTCCCGAATTTGAGATTACATTCCTGTATTTGGCTTGATATTTTAAATATTGCATGGCAACAGAGGGAAGCCTAGAGGCAGGACTGCATTTGAAGATGCACGGCAGGTAGATTACTAGCTAAGAAAATGCAACCCTCTTCTGCAGCAGATTTGTCTGCAATAACCATCCATGGGCCCACACTTCTGAAATGCTTGGGTCAGTGCTCAGCTAATAACTACAAGAACTGCAATCTGTATTTTTACATATATCAATTCTTCAACACGTTTTCAAATACAGAGTAACCTCTTCATTACTGTTTGCTTTTTTTTCCTTTTTGTGAAGGAAATTGTGTCTAACCAACAGTAACATTCCAAATATATTCTCATATTTTTGCTGACAGAAAAATCTAATATAAATTAGCTGCTTACAGCAAAACCAATTTGATCTGTTTAACCACAAAACATCATTGGTATAGGCCAGATTGGAATGGGTTGGTGGCTACTGACATGGCATGTGTCAGAGAAGAGTACTGAAAGCTTTGCACTGTATGCTTATAACTTATAGTGCAGCAAATTATGAAAATAAGCTGCATAAAATCACCATTGCTACAAACAGATCCCAGCTGCCGTTCTTGAAGGCAACTGAAACTTATCTTTTGCAGCTGTTACTTTCCAATATGTATGTTAGAGTACTAAATATGGTATAATATAATCATGAATGTTAATTTCTCTTACACAGCTATTAAATATGACAACATAGATGTGTTCGGTTACACAGCCTGGTCACTCCTTGATGGCTTTGAATGGCAGCATGCCTACAAAATCCGACGTGGATTATTTTATGTGGATTTCAAAAGCGAAAAAAAAGAACGGATTCCCAAGTCATCTGCACTTTATTATAAACAAATCATACAGGAAAATGGCTTCTTCCCAAGAGAGTCTACACCAAGTGTTCAAGCTCAGTTTTCCTGTGACTTCTCCTGGGGTATCACTGAGTCTGTTCTGAAGGTAAGAGTAAATAAAATGCAGAAATGGCCACTGAAGGCAGAACAATTATGAGCTTACTTGATGAGTAAAAGGCTGGGTGCAGTACCTTTCATTCTGAATCTCAACGCACACTGCACACCATCTTTTTTCCCAACTGTCTCCTGCAGTACCTATTTCAGCTTTAAATTTGGTAGACAGGATGACCAATGTGTATGGCAGTGCTGAGATAATCTTTGTCATCACATACAGAAAGGTAGTCCAATGAAAAGAATGTTAAGCACCCCAAATACCAACAAATCTCTGTAATTTATCCTACTTAACAACAACTGTAGGGGAAAAAAGTAAAGCTTCTATATATTCTGTTAAGCATTCTGAGTAAATATACAGCATAGAAAAGACCACTTCTTTTAAATAATATTTTAAACTTCACTGTATTATGCTACAAATTGCACTAAGAGTGTTAAAAATAACAGTAAAAATATATCCTTTTCTACATAGATACTTGCTAACTAATAGAAGAGAGCAGAGATGGAGTTCATACTAAGCTCTACACACTGTGTCAGATATTTGCACAGGCAGAAAGACTACCAGTAAGAACAGGGACTGGACTGTTGTGCCATGGTTGCACAGAACTGACCTTGGCAGCAGTGCCAGAACAATCCGTGCCCGCCTGTTACATTCCCTGCTGTCTCTGCAGAACCATCAGAACCGTCCTTTGTGTGACCGCAGAGGGAACCCACGTGGGACATTTATCTGCGTGAAAACGGACGTAGCGTACGCTGGTGGAGGGGTCAGTACGACCTCATTTTAACATACTGCTTTCCATTCCCCAGGCAGAGTCTGTGGCATCCTCACCCCAGTTCTGTGATCCAAACCTCTACCTGTGGAACATCACGGGAGACGGGCTCCTGCACAAAGTGGAAGGAGTGAAGCTAAAAACCCGGCCGGCACAGTGTACGGATTTTGTCAGTATTAAAAAGCAACTTGACCTCCTGGAAAAAATGAAAGTCACCCACTACAGATTTGCACTGGATTGGTCACTGATTTTACCCAATGGAGATTTGTCAGTGGTCAACAGACAGGTGCTGAGGTATTACAGATGCGTGATTAGCGAAGTGCTAAAGCTCAACGTGCAGTCTATGGTCACCCTGTACTACCCAACGCACGCCTACCTGGGCCTGCCGGGCCCTTTGCTGCAGACAGGAGGGTGGCTCAACCAGTCTACGGCCTACGCTTTTCAAGACTACGCGGCTTTATGCTTTCAGGAACTTGGTGATTTGGTTAAACTTTGGATTACAATAAATGAGCCTAACCGACTCAGCGATGTCTACAACAGGAGCAGCAGCGATACATACCGGGCAGCGCACAATTTGCTAATAGCGCACGCCATGGCCTGGAGAACATACGACGAGCAGTACCGGTCCTTCCAGCATGGCAAAGTGTCCCTGTCCCTGCACTCAGATTGGGCAGAGCCTGCCAACCCCTACTTTGAGTCCCACGCCAAAGCTGCCAACAGGTTCCTTCAGTTTGAAATAGGCTGGTTTGCCGACCCCATATTTAAGACCGGAGACTATCCAGCTACAATGAGGGAATACATCCACTTTAAAAACAGAAAAGGCCTCTCCCACTCTTTACTGCCGTCTTTCACAAGTGAGGAAAGGAAGCTGATTAAAGGTGCAGCTGACTTCTACGCGCTGAATCACTTCACCACACGATTTGTGATTCACGAGCCCCAGAACGGGAGCCAGTATGAGTTTGACCGTGACATCCAGTTCCTGCAGGACATCACCTGCCTGAGCTCCCCTTCCCGGCTGGCAGTGGTGCCCTGGGGAGTGCGCAAGGTTCTGAAGTGGATTAAAAGAACCTACGGTGACATAGACATCTACATCACAGCAAACGGAATAGATGACCAGTCCTTGGACAACGATGAGCTTCGGAACTACTACTTAGAAAAATACGTACAAGAGGTTTTAAAAGGTGAGCCTGTGACAGATTCCTCAGAGCTGTTTTCATGGCACAGATCCAGGACCCAAGCTTTACCCAATGCTAGCTACTCTGAAGTCTGCAGGAGATAATATTTCATGAGAAGTGCAGCAATGCTGTGTTGTTAAGCTGAGACACAGGCAGTTATGGAAAGGTCCCTGAAAGACACTGGTACCTGAACCATACAGTCAAGGATGCGCAATACATCCCTACACTATTTCCTACTGACAGACTCCGGAGACTTCCCTGGCCAGGCCACAGGATATCCAAAAGCTCCTCTGGGGCACCTGTCCCCTAACACAGGCTGCACATCCTGACTCCCCAGAAGCTAAACATGTGAAAATGAGGCAGGTCTTACTCACAGCAAGCCATAGTTTCAGACTGCTTCTGGACACTAACAATAAGCAGAGCATTTCTCCTCCAGTGCTTAGCTCTCTCCCAATTACTACAGAATTGATAAACATTTGCTGGTTTACTTTTCATGCCAATTTCACATTACAAACAAGGGGACAGTAAGTTATTCTGCTGCTACCCAAAGGAAAAGGTCATTTAAGGGGCAACCATCACAGTGCTCCAAATTCAATTTTCAGATAGCGTGATACCTCAGACTATTCATGGAAACATCTCCATAGTTTAGAAAGCTTTTGCTGAGTCTGGCTCACATCCTCAGCTACACTTTGCACTTAGATATGAGTGAGAGATGTCTACTCACCAAGGACTATTATTATTTCATTCAAGTATTTTTCGCCCAGCACTTGCATGCAGCAGGGTAACAATCACGTATGACAAATGGCTGAGCAGCTGGGTCTGGAATAAGGCAGGAATTTCATCAACACCACTCTCAGGACCCAGCTAACCATTTGCCCTCCAAAGTCCTGCAGGTGAGTTCACAAGAGCAGGGCCTTGCTTTTGCCAGAGAGGAAAGCTCCCAGCTCTAAACCTGCTCAGACCTGCAGACTCAAAGGAAAACAGGTTGAGAGGCCTTCCATCTCCTCAACTCTGCCTATGGGAGCTGGCATCCTGTCACCCTGCAAAGGCAGCAGCTCTTACCTCCAGCTGACATTAGAAATAAAAAGCAGGGAAGATCAGCATTTGCACACATACAAGATTCCACAACGTGTGGAGGAATGAGGGCAGTGAAGTTCATCTCACCCTCATCTACTTCCTTTTCTCAATGAAGGTATCTGAATTTTAAGATCGCTTCCTTTTCACATCCTGGCCCATATGCAAATCCCATATGCAGCAGCACTCAGTCTTGTTGGTTGAACTGCAGGCCTGGTCCCACTGCCTAACACAATGCAGGAGGTGGGATGGAGGCTGGCTGGCACTTGCATTCCTGAGTGCCATTTATACATACAGACATTCAGAGATATGGGCTACAAGTCTGTGCAAAACCTCTTTTCATACGGTAGGTCCACAGAATTCCCAGGTTCAAACTTTTTTTGGAACAATGATGCATTGTTTCTAATTAACACAGTGGAAGCTGAGTATTATTAGAAGCAATAACTGCAAGTAAATATTTTATGATGTCATTATAGTCTTTAAATGAATAACCATTTGAAAACTTAACTCATTACTAGAAAGTCTGCAAGTTACACAAAATGTTATTAACAATATTAACAACTCTATTTTTTTCCTCCCAGCATACTACATTGACAAAGTCAAGATTAGAGGCTACTACGCATTTAAATTGACCGAGGAAAAATCTAAGCCCAGATTTGGATTCTTCACTTCTGACTCAAAAGGCAAGCCTTCAATAAAATTTTACAATAACCTGATAAGCAATAATGGCTTTCCTGCCGACTACTCTGCCTGTGATCCATCCAACGACAAGCAGTGTAGCTTCTGTTTGTTTGTTTCTCAGAAGAAGCCATTAATATTCTTCGCCTGCTGTCTTTTCTCCACTCTGATCTTGCTTTTAACTATTATTGTTTTTCACAAAAGAAAAAGAAGAAAACGTTTCAAGGCAAAGAGAATCCGGAGCATCTGTGTGTCACTTTAATAAGGGGCACAAGCCCACTTTCAACAGGATTCATGACTGTGCATTCTACAGAGGACCGTGTAAACAGGCAACTGCAGAAAAGCACTATGTGAGTCACTCCAATTATACACACTGAACACCTCAGCTGAAAACAGAAGGTAACTGTATGCACAGGAAAACAAGCTATGATACCTGCTTCTGGTGAAATCACTTTTCTCCACTTTCTGTACCAAGAAAACGTTATGCCTTTCCTGTGCCTTGGAATAACCACACAAACTGCGTGACTTGAAAAGAGATATTAGTCTGTGAGAACTGATATGCACTTTTATACAAACTTCTTTGGACCAAAACTTTCTGTGATGTATACTCATGCTGTGAATAATGTTAAACATGAAGATGCAACTAGCAGTTTATAAATAAAAGTGTTAGCAAACACCAAATGGGTAGGTGCCATCACTATCTGTAACTTTGCACTTTTGGAGCAACAATCTAAACATTCTGTCACTTCCAGCTGCCCCTAAACACTGAAAATAGCATCAAACACAAAGCAAGCGATGCAATTTACCTACTGTTATCCAAGGATACAGAACCTCAATAGTAAGACCTGAGACATGTTTGTTTCCATCTTGCAGAAACAATGCTACCTAGAGAGAAGCATCCTTACCAGTCCAAGGCAGTCATCACTTCCAGCTGCTAGAGTCGAAGTCCATACACCCACACACAGAACTACCAGGATGCAAAAGTACACTGACACTGAAGAATTAAGGCAGCTAAATATTGTGGATCCTTCTGCACAGCCAACTAGAAACTTTGCATATATCCTCAAACCAGTACGCGTGCAACCAACTGAACCCGCATCACCCAACCTTAAATCTCAGTTCATAAATGTACAACTACTCCCCCAGTCTATTTCAAATACTGGCCAACATCACAGGAAGTCAATTTATTCAAAAGGCAAGTAGCAGTAAAATCATGATTCTTTTGAACATGAAAACACTCTGCTAGAACAGCAAACGGCAGGAGTATTAGAGATGCACATGTCCATTACCTGGACAAAAATCTTCCAGAGCCTGTGCGGACACCTCCATGTGCAACCCACTTTGGGGAACTGCTTAAGTAGAGGGTTGGACTGGATGACCTCTAGAGGCCCCTTCCAACCCCTACAATTCCATGCTCACTGTGTAAGCCAACACAGAATTCTGAAGACTGCCTTAGTGGGACCGCTTGAACACAAGAAATTGTTCAAATTTCATACCTATAAAATTCGGCTCAGTAGTACAGCACTCCTAAACAAACTGACCACAGAATCACTCAATTGCTGTAGGTGCTTTCCCTTTGCATGCAGAGATGTTTCCCTTGTTATTAAGCTTTAGCCACCTTATATAAGTATTTTATGCAATTCTTTCCAAAATTGATGATAGAAGTTACAAGGTAGATTTTAGCATAGCATAGAAACAGCACAAAGTCACAAAAAGACATCTTGAAAGAGAAACCAAGAAAAAAAAGTGTAATCCACAGACAACAAATCGCATACTGAAACTTCCCTGTATCCGAATTCTGATGTAGGTATTTTGGTTTTCTTAATTCAATGCTTCTCAAGCCACATAGGTCATGTGTTCAGGCTTACTCTAATCCTGCATCTAGGTTAAAAAGTCTTGTAAGTTGGCTTTAAACAATTCTAGATTGTTTTCAACATATTTCAAATATGGAATTTCCTGCCAGAATCTGTACATGGTCATCTGCTTTTGTAATCACTGGTTTGAGGTTTTGCATAGTAAGAAAAAACACCAAATTTCCTTTCTTTGAAAACAATGCTTTTGCTATTTTTTTATGTTACAATTTAAAACTACCAATCTGGGGCTTTATGTGGCATGAGGATTCCAATCCATCAGACTTGTGCTGATCTGAATGTTCAAGAGAGAAGTAACATTGCACAAGACTACAAACATGCAGAGCACTGAACTATTTGCCATGACTATGTGACAATGTGCTTCTCCAGATGATGAAGACTTTGAGTAGGTCCACATTATTATCATTTAGATCTCAAAAAAAAAAAACAAAAAAAAACAGACCAAGACATGAAATATATTTTATTTTATTAAACCTCTGATCTTGTTCAGTTTTCGTATCAGATGTCCCAATCCAGTACGTGCTGATATGCTGTCTCATTTTTTGTTTTGTTTTTTTCCAGGACCCAGACAACTGGAAATAGAACATTAAAGAGCTTTTTAAAAAGTTTTACCTAGCAATGCAAACATGACATTCAAAAGCTTCGGACATAAAACAAGTTCATCTATCTGGTAGTTTTTATACAAAACAAGAATTAATAGCACTAAAAAATCTGCCCAACTTGTTCAGACAAGATTACTTGAAAATGAGTAAATGCTCAAAACTGTATAATAAAGAGAGAAGTTGTTCTATTTCTTACAGAACTCTGAGCAACACTGGCAATCACTTTTTCTGCAGCCTGTAAGCACCTGATATCTGCCTGCTGATATTAAGATTTAGTTTATGAAATTCACTTCATCAGCATCCTGTCTCAAGCTCTGGAAGGCACACAGTTATCTTAAATGCAACTCAGCCTGTCTCATCCTAAACAAGTTATTTATTTGGACCACATCTGAAATGCATCAGATTCCTCTAGCAGTTAGAATTCTTAAACACCAAATCCTTGCGCTCAATGCCAGTAACAAATTTACATTAACAATTATTTATCACTGGTTATCTGACTTTTGTTTACAAGCATTTACATAACTACGCAGAAGACCCTAAAACATGTGAAATGCTACCCTTTTTTTTCTTTTCTTAGTATTACTTTATTTAGAGAGAAAAAAATAAAAGGAAAGCCAGTGTATAACCAGGAGGAGCCTTAGTCCAAGGAAGTTTCCTCTGTAATAACTGGAAATTGCTCTTTCACCCCAGGCCAGTTGGCTTTCAATTCTCAATTATCATCCAAACTAACATTCATGCTATAGAAATACCACATTCAGTTAGATGTTTAGACCAACAGCAACATAAAACAACGTTATTAAGAGACGTGAAGTTGCTGCCAAGAAATCTAAGTTTCAGGATATAAAGAAGCTTTATACGACTGCATCCCTGCAGTGAACATGGTAAACCACTGAGGCTCTGCTGAAATAGACTTTATCTAGCCCTCAGTTCAAGTCACAATCTCCAGACACTTGCTTCTCACACACGCTATCTCACATCCCCACTGTTCCCAGCTCCCATATTCTGTATGTCATAGACTTCAAGATGCAAAGGTGCCATGCTTGTCCTCAGAAAGAACTGAACACACCTGACAGCCACAGCACGTTAACGTACAACATAATGCCAATCCACATAGGACACCAACCTATTAGTTTTACTCATCTGCCTGCTGTACTGTTCCTTTCTCGGAGACGTAGATACCGTCCAAGAATTTCCTGATATCTTTATTCTTGACTGTAGTGGCTTGCTGGATCAAGGCAGCTATGAACAAAGCAAAACCATTAGCATAAGAGATCCAAAAACAGTATCTCTAGTATTTTAACTAATAAAACCAACACTTGGAGGAGGGAATTATCAACTTGAAATCACGTCAGTTTTAAAGAAAGAAGTATGCATTTCACTCAGTGCTTCTTGGCAATGAGGCATAAGGCAGAAACATCTGAGCTGTCCTTTACTTCAGCATCGGAGAAAAAGAACAGAAATTGTTTGCTAAACTGACATCTCCAGATGAACTCGAACATATCATCACATTTTCTCTTGCAGCTACTTCACAAACCTGAATTGGAGACCAATTCAATGTCATTCCCTTCAAGGATCAGCTCATCTTTCTGGGCTTGAGAAACGGCACAGGAAACGCCTACAGGAAAGAAAATGCACAAACTCGTTATGAGTGAAGACAATAAACACATACTAAAGACACAGCATTCAGGTCCCAATTTATGGATGAAGGCTCTTCTGGGCTCCATTAAAAAAAAAAAAAAGGCGGCCAGCAGGGAGAGAGAGGTGATTGTCCCCCTCTATTTGGCTCTTGTGAGGCCCCATCTGCAGCACTGTGCCCAGGCCTGGAGCCCCCAGTACAGGAAGGATGTGGAGCTCTTGGAGCGGGTCCAGAGGAGGGCCACTAAGATGATCAGAGGGCTGGAGCACCTCTGCTATGAAGAAAGGTTGAGGGAACCAGGCTTGTTTAGCCTGGAGAAGGCTCCAGGGAGACCTCATTGTGGCCTTCCAGTACTTGAAGGGAGCGTATAAACAGGAGGGAGAACGGCTGTTTACATGGGTGGATAGTGACAGGACAAGGGGGAATGGTTTTAAACTGAGACAGGGCAGGTTTAGGTTGGATATTAGGAGGAAGTTTTTCACACACTGGAACAGGTTGCTCAAGGAGGTTGTGGGTGCCCCATCCCTGGAGGCATTCAAGGCCAGGCTGGATGTGGCTCTGGGCAGCCTGGTCTGGTGGTTGGTGACCCTGCACATAGCAGGGGGTTGAAACTGGATGATCACTGTGGTCCTTTTCAACCCAGGCCATTCTATAATTCTATGGTTCTTACTCTAGACAAAAAATGAGCTTCTATGACTTAAAATGGTCCTCCCACAACTCTTCCAAGATTGTCCTCTCCCAACAGTTTCAGCACACAAAGATTACTTCCTTTCAATCCAGAGCATGACTTGCACATTACTGCACTACAGCATTAATCACCAACACAGCACATAAGTTGGAGAATCTGCCAGCATGACTGTCAGCTAGGTGGTGCCAGTTTCTACATTCTTATGTTTGTGAAGACAAAACCAGACACAGACCAAGTCACTGAAAAAAAAATCCTATCCTCTGCTATGTTAAGCACCATGTTTACAGAAGAAACAATAAGAACCTTTCTAAGGGACAAGCACTACCACATTCAGAAATCTAACAGGAAACTTTCTTGCACAGAAAGTATAACAAGTGCAATTCTATAGTATGATCTATAGTTAATAGGTGGTAAACTAACACTTCACTAACACCTATCTTTGAAGTAAATGCTGATTTAAAAAAAAAAAAAAAAAAAAATGAAGTACAGTAGTCAAGCCCACCTTTAACACCACACTGTAAATCAAAGTCAAAGCCCCTGTACCAACTCCACGCTGCATCTACCAGGGAGTTCTGAGCAGTCTGATGCTTTATCTAAACACATCCTGAAATACCATCTGTTACACACACACACACAGCAGTGGAAGTATAAAAAAAAATCTGGACATCTCAAAATAATTGCGTTTCTCAAGTGTTACATTTTTCTCTTCACAGTTTTTATAAAAATTTCAATGATTGGTTCAATTGTCCTGGTGCCTGCTGACTTCCCATCTACTCAAGATCTCCAGTGCGTTAGGAAGTTAGGAAGGGGATCTGAGATGCCATGACACAGCTACTTGAGGCAGGATCACAGTTACATCTGGTGAGGTATCAGGTGCCTTGTACCCCAGCATGGTTTGGTTGTAGTTCTTTGACCAATCACTGGCTGTTGTTGAGAGGTTTGGGACATTTTGAGGAGCTAGCTCTACCACACTTGGATGATGAAGTGTGCCTGCATATTCCAAAAACTTTCCCATTTTCTGCTTGATACTTTGAGCAGCAGTTTGAAAATGAGGGATTACTCAAGAACAGAGACAGTGCCAAGGTCCCATCCACACACTGCTCCAGATACTACAGGATCATACAATACATAATCATTTGGGCTCAACTCTGCCAGGCACAAAACTGGCTGGACCGAGGTTCAGTCTGGATATTAGAAAACTTCTTCTCAGAAAGGGCGATGAGGCATTGTAACAGAATGTCCAGGAGGTGCTGGAGTCACTGTCCCTGGTGGTGTTTAAGGAAAGGCCAGATGTACTACTTAGGGATATGATCTAGTTGTCAGTATTGATGGTATGTTGGACTAAATGATCTTAGAGATTTTTTCCAACCATAATGATTGTATGATTCCTTCTGGAAGCTTAACAATGTCCTTCCAATGTTCACCTTGTTAGGCTTCTTGCTGAACACAGGTACACAGAGCTGAGGATAAGATGAAAACTGAGACGTGCTCCTGGCTAACTACAGAATTAAAAATACAAATCTACATGCGTGTGAAATCAGATGACTTACAAAGTTTAAAACAAAAACACCAGTCTAAAACTGAGCACCAGAAATGCACACCAACAAACTCTGTGAAGACCAAACAACAACGAAATTACACGCTAGGATCCTTTTAACTTCTACTGCAACAACGAGCTTCAAGTTTTCCCATTACTAAGGATAAACTGCAAAGCTGTTATTAACCACAGCAGTAAATGTATTGCAAGGTCACATAAATTCAGACAGACTGAGAAATGCTCCTTCCAGTAATCTGCTATTTCTTGCTATCAGTGGCACCACCAAAAGGGAACATCTTGGAACCCTATTAGAAAGAGCTGAGTACGATATCCCCAGATGTACTCACCTGGCCTCATGCGCACCCTGCGAATGTACTTCTCTCCCAAAAAGTTCCGGATTTCCACCAGTGAGCCGTTATCCTGGATAACTACATTGATTGGGAAGTGAGCGTACACCGACCTCATCTTATAACGGAAGCCCTAGGATAAAAGGCATCGTTAGGTGCTGAAACCAGGAAATCACAAGTCATCCAGAAGGGAAAACAGATGCACAAAGCTCACTGATTACATTTAAGAACCAAATACACTGAAGATACGGTCCCTGCAAGGACAAGATACTAAGCCCAAGAAACATCCACTGCTTATTGTTCATGCCTTCCTCCCCCTGAATCTGTTTGATGTCCAAACAGAAGAAAAAAAGCTATGCATATGCATAACAACTGACATGCTTAGAAAAGCTCGTTAAAGTCTGTCCACTCTTGCCACAAAGATGCCATCTGAAAACAAAACTTACCAGTGTAACGCCCTTTATCATGTTCTGTACATGGCTGCAAATTGTGCGAACTGTTGCCAGCTCCTTTCTGTTACCCCACCACTTGTCAACACGCAGCTACACAGAAATAAATAACACAACAAACCCGTAAGTTACAGTCCAGTACTAAAAATAAAGCAGCTTTGTGACAAATCAAGAATGAGAAGCCATTAAAATCACAGATATACTTTATTTCCTCAAAAGACTGTCAAAGGCCCACCCAGCTCCAGCCCCATGTGGTGACCCTCATACACACAAGAAGTTTTATTCTTGTCCCATCAGTAACAAACCTGCAGAGAAGCTGGGACAGGCAGCAGGTCTAAAAAGGTTCTGAAACCTTAAGCTGAAGGATGCAACATCCAATACTAAATGCTGAACTAGTTGTTCTGAAGTCAGACTACTACATGCAAGCTATCCATTTTCTCAGTTACAGTGTTAGGATCTAGTGCTTTTCTGATGCAGTAAACGCCCACTAAAAGTTACCAAAATCAGCCATTTTTGCCCTTTTTCTTTTGTTGAAGACCTGTTTACACCACATGAAAATATTACGTACATATTTAGAGAATCAGCCCTCCCAACGTAACTTGACAATTCCAAAAAACTAAATGCACTGAATTACTTTTAGCCAGTTAAAATGCACCAGGCAAAAGAACAGCACACAGTAGGTATCCCCTTCCCAACACTGAGAACTGCAACCACACAGAAAAACAATCAATACCATTCCAAGACACAACAGAACTTCAAGGCTGCCGTGGAGCGGGCCTCAGCATTCCACCAGACCAACTCGTTCCAGGAAACATAAAGGAACTCATTCGCAAAGAAAGCAAAACCAGGAACATTTGCTTGAAGCTCCCAGACTTTTCAAGCCTTTGAACAGGCCGCGCTGCCCCCTCCCTCCCCCCTCAGTGGGCACTGAGCGCAGCCCCGCAGCACTCACCTTCCTGCGCTTCTTTCCCAGTAGGGACAGCTCCACGTTAATGTGGTTGAAGTCTCTCCGCAGAGTTCCCCGGGGGCCCTTCACGATGACCGTGCGGCCCTTCAGGGACACGCTGACTGCAAAGTGAGCACAGACAAACGCACGTTACGGCTGCGAGGCCGGCAGCACGACGGGCCTTTCAGGAGAGCACTACGCACCTTGCTCAGGGATGTCCACAGTCTGGTTGCTGAGGATGGTCTTCATTCTGCAAACGACAACCACGACAAGCTGCAGACCGGGAGGGAAAGTCCCTTCTTCTTACACCGCCCTGCTTCTCCTAACCCCCACGTACCCCGCGGCCCGCAGCTACGGGATCTCCCAACCCTCTACCGCCACCGCTACGGCCACCCGGGCCCACACGCAGGCCCGACCCCGGGCCCCAGGCAGGCGGCGGCCTCCGCGCCCTTCCCAGCAGCGGGACCCGGCCGGGCCTAGAGCGGGGAGGGGCGGGAAGGGGCACGTCGGAGAAAGCGCCATCCCGGAGGCTCCCCCGCTAGGGCTGCGCCCAGAGCACCGCGACGGTGCGACTTCAGCCCCGGTCAGCCGCTCGCAGCCCGGCGGGGCGGTGCGGAGCCGGTCCGCCGCGGATGGCATCGGATGCAGCCACCAGCCGCGACTAACCTGGCGGCGAGCGGCGCCGAAAAGAGCGGCGCGTGACGTCATCGCGCTCTTGTAGCCGGCCGCGAGCCGCCGACGTCATCGCGCCGAGGCCGCCGTCCGAGAGGCGAGAGAAGGAGAGCCCCGATGCGCGCGAGCCGGTGCGGGCGGTCGAGCGCCGAGAGCGTCGATCGGGGCGGCGGGGGGCGTCGCCATGTCGCTGCTGCCTGGGGGCTGCCGCGGCGCCGCCGCTACCGCTGCCCGGCGACTGCTGCTGCTATCGGGGCCTCACGCACGGGTGGGTGGGCGCCGTCCTCAGCCGGGGCGTCGCGGCCAGTAGCGCGGTTGCGCGCCTCAGGGCGGGTTAGGAAACGCGCGGCGCAGTGCAGTGCAGTGCGGTGCGGTGTGGTGCGGTGCGGTGCGGTGTGGTGTGCTGCGGGAGGGTCCGGGCTGCGCCGGGCGGAGTGTCGGCAGTGGGTCGGGACGAGCGGCTCTTCACCTCTGCTTAGAGCTGCCCAGGCCGCACCTGAGCGCTGGGTCCGGTTCTGCGTCCCCAGTACGAGAGACACGCAGGGCCATGGAGATACTAAGGGCCTGGAGCTCCCAGAGCTGGGCTGTGCAGTCTGAGGCGGCGTGGGAGAGAGGTCCATCAATGGGCAGAAGTAGCTGAAAGCAGGGCGCGGAGGGCAGAGCCGGGCTCTTCTTGGTGCCGGCAGGGCAAGAGGCAGCGGACCCAAAGCGGAGCACGGGAGGTTCCTTCCGAACGCCAGGAGCGGTTCTGTGGGTGGCGCTCCGTCACGGGCTGCCCAGCTGCGGGCTCTCCTCCTTGCAGGTCTTCAGAAGCATCCCGGCGCGGGCACTGCTCTGGTGACCCTGCTCGAGCTGCGGCTGGGCCCGATCTCAGCCGTGCCGTGCTGCTCTGACTGAGGCCGTGTCCACGGTGAAATAGTACGTTTCTGTGGCTGACTTGACGATGTGCATCTAAACCTCAAAATCCTGTCGGTCTCAAAAGCAAAAAGTAGTCCATGCAGTGATACTTGTATCAAAAACTTTAATTTAGTCTGACGCTGAGATATGTGGGAACTGGTCATTCTTTTTGTCTGTTTTTCATGACTTGAAGTGAAGGAGAGTATAGATGTTTAACATAAATGCCGTTGGGAAGAGACTTGCACGAAGTCTGTTGCAGAGCGTATGGTAAACCACCAAAAGGACTGGCGGTTCTTCAGTATGAAACACTAATTCATTTCTAATTTAGTACATAACACCGTTGCTTTTTTTTAGGTGTCAGAAAGCCATGTGTGTAACCAGTATGGAACATCAAGTTCTTTGACTGAGGAGACAAAAAAAATTCTCCAAAATGGACCAGACTTAGAGGACTTTGTATCAGGAGATTTGGCAGATAAGAGTGCGTGGGCTGAGTACAAAGGCAATTTAAAGCGTCAGAAAGGAGAAAGGTAAATGTAATTTCAAACAGCTGTAGTTGCTTCCATGCAGTTTCTTGCATGTTCAGGTATTAACTGCAGAATGTATACCGTGTCCTTTTATTAAATTCTGTTGTATTGGCTTGCCAGATTGATTTTTGCATGGAAAAAACTCACAGTATTAACTGTGAATATGTAACAAAACTAAGACATGATGATATTTTCTCAACTTGAATGCTTGTGCTGTACCAAGTTATAAACGCACATCAGAGGGTAGCATACTATACTTAAGGGCTGAAAAAAATATTACTGGTATCAAAAAACAAATTAATGCAGAATAAGTTAAAAAATACTTGAAACAAAGTATATTCCCAGTTATACAGTTGATCTCCCTTCTTGCTAGTTGTGTACTTTATGCTGTTGTTAATTGTTGTGTTCTCCACTGTTGTACTATGAAATCCCATCTTTACAGCCTTAAGCCTTCCAGTGACAACAAATTCCTATTTTTGAATACTGGGATGGTAATATGCATAGAAGAGAGAAGCCTGTTATGACTGTGAGTGATATTAATGCTGGCCACTGAGCTGCATCAATGTTCAAGGAACCCTTCCTCACTGGGATGTGTAACAAATTGAAATGGATCTATATAATTAATGGAAACTTACCATGTAAATAATGTATTAATGTTTACATTTGTTTGATTTTTGTTCAGGCTGCGACTTCCTCCATGGCTGAAAACAGAGATTCCCATGGGCAAAAATTACAATAAACTGAAAAATACCTTGAGGAGTTTAAATCTGCACACGGTAAATCTAGTATCAAACCAAGGTTTCCTGTAGAGATGATGATGATTTTTTGTTTGTATGTTTGGTTTTGTGGAGGACAGGTAGACATTATGTCTTGTATGGTCTTAGATGCTGAAATCAAACCCAATGCTGATTTTTCTTTTTAATGTTTTTTTTCTGCTGTGATTTTAAATATTATGACTTAATACTTGCATCATCAAAGAGATGAAAAGATGCCAATTGTAATTATTTTTAATGGAAATGCACACAGTTTCAGGGATATATACACATTTTGCAGGAAAAGGAATTGCAGAAATTTGCATTTGCTTAAATACACCCTCAATCACAGAAACACAGAATGGCCCAGAGGATCATAGATCTCCAACCCCCTGTTGCAGGCGAGGCTGCCAGCCTCCATATCTAATACTAGCCCAGGCTGCCAGGGCCCCATCCAGCCTGGCCTTGAACACCACCAGCTAGGGGGCATCCACAACCTCTCTGGGCAGCCTGTTCCAGGCTCACCACTCTCTTGGTAAAGAACTTCCCCCTGAAAGGTGATAAAAAGTGGTAGGTATGCATGGAGAGCTTTTTTTTCTGTTTGGTTGGTTGGTTTTGGAGGGTTTTTTTGTTTGTTTGTGGTTTTTTTGGGGGGCAAGATGTATCATGGATCTTGTGAATACAGTATCTTGTGAAATGTGTAAATTTAAAATGTTAATGACAATCTGTGCTAACTAATAAGGCAGTTACTCGGCTGAGGAGTTGTTGGCTCTGGGTTTATATATTAGAGGGTAAAGAATGGAAATGGATGCCAGGAAACAATTATTTTCTTCCTAGTCATTCTGCCGACTTCTTCCATAACGATGTGTAACTCTGTTTAATCTCATTTATCACAGATGGAATTAGGATTATTTGTAGGCTAGTACTGAAATACAGTACTTTCCTGTCTGTTTAACTTCAGGTATGTGAGGAAGCACGTTGTCCCAACATTGGGGAATGCTGGGGAGGTGGTGAATATGCTACAGCTACAGCTACTATTATGGTAAGCCATTAACAATTTTTCATGTATTTTATAAATGTTTGAGGCACTTGTAGCACATTGTTGGATATGTGGCAACCTCTGCTGAAGTGGTGTGGGTTTGTTACATGAAATGTACAGGAAATCACTTCCTCACCTTTTTCTTTAGTATTGAGGCGTTCTGATAGGCTGAAACAGCATATGCAGCTGTTTCTTGGCTGAGCAATAGTGATGTGCAAAATGTAAATGTAGGAATGCCCTTCTTGTTTCAGCTGATGGGTGACACGTGCACTAGAGGCTGCAGATTTTGTTCAGTAAAGACAGCAAAAAATCCACCTCCACTGGATCCCGAGGAGCCTTATAACACAGCAAAAGCTATTGCTGAGTGGGGCTTGGACTACGTTGTATTGACATCGGTGGACAGAGACGGTTAGTATGCTGTCACTGATGTCTTCCAGTGTGGGCTCAATTGTGCAATTTGCACAACTGTGCAAATCAGTGCAAGTGTTGAGAATTCTTCTTTGAAATGAGTCAACTGTGCCGAACCTTTGGAAAGTGCCTACATACTCCTAGTATCTCTCTATACCTGGTAAAATACAATAGAAGTTACACTCAGAGGATCATCTTTTCCAACCTAAATTATTCTGTGATCGAGTCCAACCATCCAGCTAACCCTGCTGCTAAGCCATGTCCCTAAGTGCCACATCCACACGTGTGGATGGTGATGGACTCCACCCCTTCCCCTGGGCAGCCCGTTCCAATGCCTAACCACCCTTTCCACAAAGATATTTTCCTGAGGCTCAATTTCAGCCTCCCCTGGCGCAGCTTGATGCCGATGCCTCACGCCCGACACCTTCTCTAGCCTCCTTTCAGATAGCTGTACATAGCAATGAGGTCTTAACGTTAAAAATATACAATAATTAATAAAATATTGTAAGAACCTTTTTCTTTTTTCAAGGTACACGCACTATAGTCTACTTGATCAGAAAAACAATCACACTCATATGCTATGCTATTGCAGAACTTGTTTTCAAAAGCTACACCTGAAATAAATTATACTTAATAGTATTGAAAGTTGCTTTTTGTTCTGTGGTTGTAGTAGCTCTTTTGTGGTGACATCATGTGCATGAGAAAAACAATTGTAAGGACTCTTCAATATACTTTAGGTGAAAATCCTATAGCTTCAAAGTGGTTTACATGAAAAGAGCAATAATGCTTAGTTGGATGTTTCAGTTTTTTTGTAGGACGGCTTCTCAGATCAATAGTTAAAGTTTAAATAGTTAAAGTCATTTTGTTCTTAGGCTGACAGTGAACCCACAAAAACAAGTGAATATGATTATATTTAATCTGTGTGCAGAGTGAGGCTTGGTAGAATATCTGTTGCAAACCTTTGGCATAAGCAGTAAAATAAGATGAGTTTTATCTTTGACTAAGAGCTCCTTTATGAGTTCAGATTTAATTGTGACTCTGCTTTTTTTTTTTTTTTTGTCTCTAATAAGTAAATGCATTTCTTGAGCAGAAAGGTTAACTGAATAATTGGAATACTTGTAGATATGCCTGATGGTGGAGCAGAACACTTTGCAAAGACGGTCTCCCATCTGAAAGAAAGGTACGTTAATAATGTATTACTGTTATTAGTAAAAAACTTTCTTGTTGTATCTTAGTTTCAGCTGGGACGGAATTGTTTTCTTCAGAGGGTCTGATATGATGCTATATTTTGGTTCTAGGAGAAAAATTATAACACAGTGATGTTTATAGTTGCCTGCTATCTATCTATCTATCTATTTATGTATTTATTTATTTAGCCTGTAACGTCTTTCAGAGCCAAAGCCATTTGCAGCAAAGGGCCCCAAGGAGCTGGGAGGGAACAGAATTAGGACAGCTGACATAAACTGGCCACAGGGACATTCTGTGCTATTTGACATCACACAGAAGGAGTTTTGGAGGCGTGGGAGTTCATCTCACTCTCTTTTGCTACTTGGTGGGCTGGCTGGGCATTGGTCAGGGGGTGGTAAGCAATTGCTTGTGCATCACTTGCTATGTTTGTCATAATTATTATCCTTTTCTTTATCTTAGTAAATAGTTTTATCTCAACCCACAGGTTCCACTTTGTTTCTTTTTGATTCTTTCCCCCATCCCACTGGGAAGGGGGGAGTAACCAAACAACTGCGTGATGCTGAGCCACCTGCCAGCTTAAATCACAACACGTGCTATGGCATGTAGGTCAGAATTGCCTTTAGCTGGATTCTGTGAGAGGCCATACAAATAGAAAAGTGTGCCTTCAGCTTGTTTATGTGCCCTTTTTCCCCCCATTATTCATATTTCTGGTACAATAGTCCCAGAATATTTTGAATTGGAATGCACTTCCAATTTAGCACAGGCTTATTTAAAGTTAAGCACTGGATTATTTCTTTGACCATGTGTCAGGTCAGAAATACATCTTCTCTGTATTTCAGAGCTGTAATAGTAAAATAGTATTTAAAACTTCATGCAGTAACCTGTGACTGACAGAAAAATATTACATATAGACAGACTGCAAAGAAATGGGGGGTTTTGTATTTGACTTTCATTCTATTTCAGCTCACATCAGTAAAATCAGGAATTAAACACATTATGTTTTGTTTGAACAGTGATATTACAAAAAAGCAATAGTGTCAGTACTTGCAGAAATCTGTTGTTTTAGCCATATATCCCCAATTAACTTCGCTCTGCTTATGAGCGCATCGTTGGTTTGGTTGTTTGGGTTTTGTTATATTGAACGTTTACCAACAGTGATAAAAATCCCACGGATGTGTTCATTTCCAGTTTCTTTTTCTCAGGAACTCAAAAATAGTTGTGGAATGCCTTACCCCTGATTTCCGAGGGGACCTTAAGGCTGTGGAGAAGGTAGCACTGTCAGGGCTGGACGTGTATGCCCACAACGTGGAGACCGTTCCGGAATTACAGAGGTAAGCAAGAACAGCGTGTGTAAATGGAAGCAGAATACAGTACAATAGGAGAAGGGATTTTGTGAAAGGAATTCTCTGTGACTGGGAGCCAGAGCCATTTATTTAAACCTGCTTTCAGCACGCAGCTCTCGGTCCCGATCCCACTCAGAGGCGGCACCACCGCTCCCTTTTCCTCCTGAGATGACCACACGCCTCTCGCTTTGTCCTAAAAAAGGACGAACAAAAGAACCGAAACATTCGCTGCGAACGGAGCATAGCTGAATCCCATTGTGTCGGGTTCTCTTCTTGAGAGCTAGGTTTTGTTTCGCAGCTTTGTAGTACTTTGAACTATCTGCGGCTTACACACAGCTTGCCCTGCGGCAGAAAAGGCGCAGGCTGGCCGGGCGCTGTTCCATCCCGCTGCTCCCGGCACTCTGTAGCCTGTTGGTTTTCCGCAGTTCTGCGGGTGCGTCGCGCTCGCGATCTGACAGTACTCTGCCACGAGAAAAAGGAACGCTTCCCTGCTGGCAAGGACGTTCTGTACAGCTCCGCCCGCAGCCACGCGGCGTGCTGCCGCTTCGCGTCGCGCCGGCCTTCCCCCGCCCGTCGCCTTCCACTCGGGCGGCCGGCCGCCTCAGGACTGGGGAGGCGGGCGGGGAGCTCCGAAATGGCGCGGGGCCGCGGTTCCCAGCCTGCCTCGCGCGGCGCCGCCCTGCCCGCCGCCCGCCCGCAGAGGGCGCCCGCGCCGCGCCGCGCCCGGGCCTCGGGGCCGACAGGCGGCCCCGAACGGCGAGCCGTGGTTTGGGCTTCGCGGGATGTAACAGAATGTAACTGTCGTGGCGTCTTTAACTCGCCGATGTTCTCCCCGTCGTGCTGAAAACCTCAAAGGAAAATCCGCGATCCCCGAGCCAACTTCGAGCAGTCCGTCCGTGTGCTGAAGCACGCCAAGGAGGTGCAGCCCCGTGTCATTTCCAAGACATCCCTCATGCTGGGGCTGGGTGAGACAGATGAACAGGTGTTTTCAACGATGAAGTGTGAGTTTTCTTGTTTTCTTTGCTATTCTTTCCTAAGAAGAGAAAAGTTCCCAGTGGATAGTGCACACAGGCATTTTTCATAAGATATTTGTACATCCTACAATGTTTCTCCCATATCCAGCTGAAGGATTGTCTACCTGTACTTTATCCCTTGCATAATAACCATATATTTAGAAGGCAGTGGTGCAGCCTTGTTTTTCTGCAGCTGTGATGTATCAGTTCCTGCCCAGCATTTCATACAGAAGTGTGAAGTTCAGCCTCAGGGCTGTTTGCATGTCATGGATGTCTTTGGAGCCATCCAGTTACTCTACTCTCATTCCTCTCCCTTTCTCTATGTAGGAGCTGAAGAACATGTAAATGTGCTGCTATTAAACCCATTTATCAGTCTAATCAGGTTTCAAGGTAACAGTGAGTGCAAAGTGCTGTAAACAAAACATCTTTTTATTTGACTTGGGGGCAAGTAGTTCACATAGCCAGGAAATACACAGAGGTATTCATTCAAAATCTGATCCCTCACACCTGATCACCACAGCAAGCATCGCCCTGCAAGCTAGCTGACTGCTGGGTGCCTGGGTTACTTCTGTAAGCAGACAACCTGAACTCATTTGTTGCATATTGATTCTAGTAAATATCCATCTTGCAAGTTTTTGCAGGCATTAAAGCTAACATTTACCCTTCAGTGTGTAAAGCTGGGTAAAGGTGTTGGCAAATTTATTTCTCTTCAGAAAAGTACTGGTAACTTCAGCATGAAGGCTTTGAACCAGTGGAGAAGTGCTAAGTGCATGTGTCCATTTTCCCTCAGAGGAGGGCTTTGACCTAAAGATGCAGTGAAAAGCAGCAAAACAAAAAAGAGCATGTTGTCTCTGCAGTGAGACAAGTGACTGCAGTGCAGTGGTATTCTCTCCAGCTCTGAACTAGAGAGATCGTGCAGCAGCTTGGATCTCAGAACGAGGTGCATTGCTGCTGCTTGTGGAGGTTGCAGGCTCTGTTCAGGGAAAGCAGAACGTACCCCCTGCAGGGTGCTGTGGTTCAGCCTTGCGCGTGGGGTGTTAGCCACTTGCTGACAATCCCTTGTGGTGCTTTTGCCACTAACAAGGACATTTATTTTTGCAGTGTTGCGTGAAGCAGGTGTGGATTGTTTGACTCTGGGACAATACATGCAACCAACAAAACGTCACCTAAAGGTAATTTCATTTACAGACAGAATTATGGTCTGGACCTTGCAGTAAAGTTTTTTCTTTCTAAAACGAGGCTTGATTTGCATCCTTCCCTTAACTGTGGATGTTGGGAAATATTTCCTTCTTTGTCTAACTTTATTCCCATCTGTTATGGACTCCTTGCTAGAAATGGCCCCAGCTACAATCATTCCATCCTCTGCAGACTTTCCATTGTTACTAATAGCTGGGCAGACAGCTGGAGCTGAGGAATGATTCTGCAAAACAAGAGTCTCCCTGCATGCCTCAAACAGAATGGCTCAAGTCAGCTCTTCTTCGCTGACTGGTAGGCTGGCCCTTAATGGTGCCACTTCAGCTGCAGAAATTACCATTTATTTCTTCTGTAACCTGTCCAGAGCTTGAGTCTCTGTACTGTTACTCTGTTTCACTGAAATAATTTGCTAACAAAGAGATTTGTAGGACTACTATGTTGTTTGTTTGTTTGTTTTTACTAACTTGGACAAAAAGGTTTGTGCAAAAGGACTGTTTGAAAACAGAGCTAAGAACATGATGAAGCAACAATTTTGCAGCTATATCTGTTTTGGAATGTAACTTTTTGAATTGAGATTTAATTGTGCCGTGTTGCCACATGCTGTCTATATTTTATTTCCTTTACATTAAGGGCTGATCAGAATGAATTCTTTTCACTCAGGTTGAGGAGTATGTAACACCTGAAAAATTCAAATACTGGGAAAAAGTAGGAAATGATCTTGGATTCCATTACACAGCTAGCGGGCCTCTAGTGCGTTCCTCCTATAAAGCAGGTACATTACTAAGCAGTGTTAAATTATTTAGGATGTAATGTTTTATGTAATCAAGCTAAAACTGTGAGGTAATAGGCAACAAAGCTCACCTTTTCTCAAGAGCAAATTATCTAGTCACGCTTTTTTACTGTTTACATTTACTGTTTTTTGTAGTTCATCTATAGTATGTATCTGTGCAATTGTTGTGTGGCTTGTCACCTTAAATAAGCTGTTTTTTTGGCAAACCAAGCTTGTGCTATACTTAATGCACAGGATTTATATATAGGGTACACAGCCTTCAGTTTTTCCATTACAATCTGCCACTTGAACACTTGAGGCTTTAGTGGAGCCAGTTGTTGCTTGTGATGCAGTTTTGATGCTGAAGGCAGAATTTATTTGCGGTGCCCTAGAAATAATTAGACACACTTAAGGCAGTGATTTTTCTGACAAAGCAGTGTGTTCAGTAGCAGCTGATCTTAGTGGCACTGCCATGTAGGTGCAACATTCTGCTTTTTCCTAAGGAGAGAGCACAGAAGGATGGTTTGGGGCACCTTGCTTCTCAGGCTATTTGAAGCAGGATTTATAGAGGGTTTCATTACAAGTTGCTGCTACTTCATAAAATAGGAATTAATTTTTAATTAAATCAATTCACCTCGACCTGGTTGAGAACACAAAGCAGCAGAGCTTTTTCATAACACTGAACATGAAGAAAATTCAGATTTTGAGGGGATGGATGGTATTGCTTGTTGAGTTATGGATTTGTCTTTTTACACATCCTGGCTGTACTGAAAATGCAGCTGTGTAGAACTGACTAGCTATAGAATATTGGTAAGCCCTAATACAGAATGCAATAGGAATGCACGTTGTTTCGCTTCATGTCCTGGAAACACCTACAAATGACTTCTGGTGCTTTTTTGCCTTTTGATTAGGTGAATTCTTCTTGAAGAACTTGGTGGAAAAAAGAAAGACGAAAGTCTTCTGAAAATGAGAGTGAGCCTATTTAAAGCAGCCAGTTCTAAGGATCCTTTTTCAGCACATAATTATACCCAGTTCCAGAAATACAGAAGGCCAGATGGCGGAGGCACGAAAACTTACTATCTTTCCAGAACATTTTACTCTTACCAAAACACTGTTATTGTACCTAACTCCTGGCAGTGCTACAACTATGTAGTCCTTCCAGCATTAAGCAGTAAGTCAGAAGACAGAATTGATTTTGAAAGAGCAAAGTGATTGAGGTAAGCTGAAAAATAATCAGAGGTTTAAGTAAAGATTTGATGCTACCATCAATGTTGCTGCAATTAGATACTGCTTAAGATGCCAATAATAGGTATTTTGAAAGGCAGTGAGATCTTGCTGTGTCTTACCATTACTATGTAACACAAGCTTGCAGGGACTGTGGGAAATAAAGGATTTACAAAACAGCATACATGACAAAGGACCACATTAGGATTATTTTGAACCACACCAGAGAAGTACTGTTAATTCAAGACATTGTCTTTTGCCTGCATCTTAAGAAAATTAACTGTGCCATTCTGAGAGCTAATGCTTTGCAGGTATCTCAAAGGATGAGTCTCAATTAGGGGATGAGATGAAGAAAACAAGATAGTTAACTTTGTATAGATATCAATTTAAAACACTAGGAAATTGATAGCAGCAAAGAGGGAGCCACCTTTAGCTTGGGTATGTATGTGACTGTAACAAACCCCTCTGCTTTCTCCAGATGCTGCTTCAGCATTGAGTGTCCAGATTTGTGCATATCCTGTACTGTAATTCTGCTCTGTTGTTGCCTGGGGATTAAAGTTCTGTACCCCACCTGAGGGTGTGGAGGTTGCATTCAGTCTGGGTGCCTGCCCCAGGGGATTTGATCTGAGTGTTTACTCTTCTGCATTCAGATTTAACTGCACTGTGGCTGAAATGTAAAGTCTGTTATGTACTGTACTAAGCTCAGGCAGAAATAAAAGTGTGGCATATGGTACAATAGCAACTGTTCATTTCTGTCTTTTCAGTCATGGTCGTCTCTCCTTAATCATTCTCAGCTGTGCGTTCTGAACAGTAGATAAGAGTTTTTAAAACTGGCTGAAGCTTTTATTTTTACAAAGTTGTTGGGAAATATTCCCAGGAATTTGCTGTCTAGTTGTAATAAGCTCTTATTCCAGTAAAGCTGGAGCTGTCTGCAGTACTTACATACACTTTTGTAGTCTATAGACAGCAGAGGGGACCCTCCCACTACTCCATGCTCTGTTAGGATGACAGCTAATTAGCAGGTGGAATCTTGGTATTGTCATAGACAGCGAAAGTCAAACTCTGCCACCAAGACCAGTGTTGCATAATTGATACTTCACAAAATACAGCACTAAGTATAGCAATACTAAGGCATTATGAAGACAAATTAGCTTTAAACTAAACAGGAATATATTTAATTAAATAGTATGACAGTAGTGTAAATTAGGGAGAGATTGTATGTTCTTTATGGCTCAGGCTTAATGCCTGTGCCTTGAAAAGGTGAAAATTTTGAAGTTATCAATAAGTCTGCAAAGGAGTCTGGAACAAGAGCAGGCATGCTGTGGGCCACAGCCACCTCCCTTCAGCTGAAACACCACATAGCAGAGCAGCAGAAGGTTGGCACTACAGCAAGGAGTCTGAATACTGCTCTGCTTCAGCAGGCCAGGTGAGGTGCAGCACTAACCTGATGATACCCACACATGTAAAGACTGCCAGCTTTTATTAGAGGCCCCCCTATAAACAATGGGCTTTGATAGAGCGGGTTTAGGAAGCTATTGTAGCTTTTGCCAAGTTACTGTTTTCAGTATAATCAACACCAGAAAAATGAAGAAAAATTCTGAGCCATACAGCAATTTTAGAACTGCCAAGAGGACACTGTGCAATGATCATCTATGACTTTTTTTTTTTTTTCCTATTGAGACAAATGTTTCTATGAAACAGTCTAACATTATTTCATATGGTAAGTTTTTTTTTTTACTGACTGCTGCTGGGTGGATCAGAAGATGATCTCAGGCTTTACACAACTGTCTGACAGCAGGCCCCCAGTTACACAAGCTCTGTAAGCCATTTTCTAGTCACATGCTTTGTATGGCTTCTAGGAAAGCAGTCATATTTTGGCTGCATAGATGTATTTTTGTTTCATTTCTGAGGGTCTTTGAGGACCTCTGACAATTTGTACAACATAGATGACAAGCTTTAAAGTTCTTTTTCTAGTTGAAAAAACTACTTTTCCAACTATCTTTCATCCCTATTCCCATTTTTTCCCCTATCACTTTATGTTGAAGGCACCAAACACTCCAAGGTTATGGCTATAGATTCAGCACTGATCTCATGACTTCTCTAATCTTGTTTCAGAAGAGATTTCACATTGAATATTTGCAAAGCACTTAATTCTGTCTGCATTTCTTATAGTACCGTACGCCTGCTTTGTCAGTTTCCCTCGCACTCAAGAAAACAGTTCTGGGAATATGATCTCAAGTCAACGTGTTCTTTAAGAGAGCGACCTTTTTAAAGCATCATTATACCAACCAACACCACACAAAGCATAATTAAACACACACAGCCAACTGGAGATATGCTGCACCATCCAGTGACTTACAGAGGCGTTAAGTTAAAAAAGAAAAAGCATTCATTTAAGAATAGACTTGTCTTCCATCTGATCAGTGAATAATAGGAGAATAGGGGTTTCCCCTTTTTTCACTACATGCAAAGTTATTAAAGATGACATTCAACTTGCACTAGCAATTCTCAGCTTGAATTGAGGGGGGAAAAAAAAAAAAGCAGGCAATGAAGACCTATGCCTAAAGCAATTATAGATAACACATTATTTCCCATACTGTCTGACACTTCATTTTGAATTTCAGATGTTGAGCATTATAGCATACTATAAATTCTATGTCACCCCCAACGAAGGCTCAAGGGATGAAGAGAGGTATAAACTTACTAGCCCTTGTGAGATCTAACTGCTGTTTGTACAAAAATGTGTTCGCTCTATTCAGTTGCGGTGCTCTTGGCCGTCCTCATTCCAGGAACAGTTTTGTCTGAATTAAGAGTTTCACATGCATACAAAGAGGTAAAAAGAGTACATCATGTCTGGCACTTGGATTTACTACTGTACATCTTGAGTGAGACAATTTATGCAGCCCATATGCTACTCATAGGCTTGTATTAAACTGTACTGCTTCAGCTGCTGTATTCACACTTTTGCGGTGAAAAATGGCATTACAGTGGGATTGCATTTTATTAAGAAACATTAAAAAATTAGAGCACAGGAATCCATTACTCATATTACACAATTCTCATCAAGAATTACATTCTGTAAGATCCCGTAGACACAAACCCAATAGCACTCAACCCCAGCTCTTTCATGCTTTTTTCGTGAGCGCAAGCCTCCAAGAAACAGGAATACAAGTCATCTCCAACACCATTTCCCTGGCAACCGTACTCTGAAGATGAGCGGTGATTTTGGCCTGTGGTAAGATTCTTCTGCATGTATGCAAGATGAGCCCTGAAACAGTGCTGTACTACCCTAATTATAGTTCAGGGCAAGAGTACTACTTGTTAGCACCCTCTCAATCCCAAAGGGGACATTACCAGCTTGCTCTCTCTGGTTCTGCTGGGGTAGTTCAGAAAGATGTCTGCCTGTATACACCAGATGATCCAGCACTCTGGAGTTTGAGCACTCACATTTGCCACACCTGTATCACAGGTGTATCACAGGGCAGCCTTTGCTCTAGGCGTTGTATGAAAGCAGCACTAATGACTTGGGAAGAGGAGACACCACTATGGAAGATAAGTTTAAGGCTCTATAATTCCCATTCATTTTGATTAGCTTCCAATACGTTCCTCACAGAAGAATCCCATGTGTGACAGCAAAAAAAAAAAAAAATAAATAAACCAAAACAACTTCAGGCATACTTGCCCAAAGTGATTGTAGAAACCATTGAGGTGCAGCATCTGAAAGCATCCAGCTCAAAAGTACACGTAGGACAGCCAAACAATTAACACTACCTTGTATTGCCTCTGCAAATTGTTACACATCCCTCCAAGCTTCAAAGATCCATCCTCAGGCTTACATGGTACCTGTGCTTCCATAGTAAATAGTTACAGCAACAGTCCTCATTACCAAGACATTGATCTTGTGCTCTCAGTACAACTACTGACATAGCATACTTGAAGGCACAGCTGTTGTACGTATTCAGAAAGCAGTCTGTGACTGCTTACAGGATTCTATCATTGAACTAAGACTTCCATGCCTTCTAGTCCAAATCCTCTCTCTGGTCAGCCCTTTCTAACACTTTCTCCCCTTCACAACCCCATGCAACAAGCCAAACACAGAGTCTATAATCAAGGACTTTAATAGCACTGGCCAATTGAGAATAATAAAAACAAGTAGAAAGAAAGTAATAATAAAGGCAAAAGTATCACGATAATAGAGGAAGTATTAATTCCTGCTAATGAAATGAGGTAGCAAGCTGACTATGTATGGGGCTGAATTTTTTTTCTTTTTTAAATTTTCTGAACAGCAGAGAATAATTCTTGCAGGTTCATAAAGATACTGCTTTTATTCATAAGATATAAGCAGAAAGAACAGTAGAAAAAGCATTAGCTTTGAAGCTAACGTTTGCTTTCTACTTGGACTGACACTGAATTAAGGTATGTCTGCTCAAATTCTGTGTTTGAACAAGCAGCAGGCAGAATGCTCTTCTGCTGAAGGAAAGTTATATGGTGGTAATTTATGAAAATCATGCCCCAGGATTCTGATCAAATCAGTAATTTATGTGCTGCATATGGAATGTAGGCAAGAACCAAGAATCAGAAACAAGATCAGCCAGTGGATTGGTTTATAGCTACTACTCCACTGCCAACAAGTATGTAATAGACATCTGCAGAAGCCTCCCGGCACCCAACAGATGCAGTTCAGACTGCATCAGCACCCACTGATCCCAGTGAGGATCAGGGCAACATAGTTGCAGTCAGCTCTGTTTTAGGTCTCAACCCAGAACTACCAAAATTCACATAGAACTCATCTTTTGACTCCATCACCAGTTAAAACAGGCATGTAAGGGGAAAGAATTACCCCAAATGACAATATAAAAAAGTGAGACCAACTGAGTTCCTGATCACTGTCTGTAACTGGACTAAAGTAAACAGATGTTCCATTTCTTTTGTGCTCATATCACTTGAGCATTTACACTTAAAGTGCAGTGTAGGAACACTTCTGGAAGCAGAAGGTTGCAGCTTGAGCGTAACTTTTCCTCTTAAAGGTTGATTCATTATTAAAAACAGGTTTGTACCATCCTCAGTAATCAAAATTGCTAGAAAAATAGAGATTTGAAAATACGCCGAGTTCATGTGTACCAGGTACTGTTTTTCTAGCATAAAATCGGATTGTAGTTTATGAAAAATATCTTTCCTTAAAAAAAAAAAAAAAAAAAAAAGCATAGGGTTACAGTTATTATCACTAAGAAGGTGACAGAATTCCTTCGGTACCTATTAAACATTATACTCTGGGCTTTTTGACAGGTGGGTCCTGCAGGCTGAACTTCGGAATTTCACAAGAAGAAGCAAAAGGGATTCTTTTGGCTGACACCTTCTTCCCAATTGTTTCAATCTGAAGGGGGAAAAAAGAAAAAAAAAAAAAGAAAAAAAAAGAGAAAAGCACATTTAGCAAGTGAGCACAGCAAACTAACAGTCACATGAGCAGAGTACAGGGAGTTTACTAATTAAAACCAGGTCACAACCACTTTTGAGGAACACAGGAAGCTATGAAGCACATTGTGTATGCAGACCATTTGAGAGTGGAAGTGCAAAGAGTTTAGAAAAATCAGCCTTTCACTTGTTCCCATGTAGAGATTTAAAGAGTTGCAGCCTAGAAATGTAAGTATTCATGTGCCCTAGCTTTCATACAACTATCAGTATAAATAACATCAACAAATGTTACTGGGTATTCAGAAAGTGTGTTTTCAAGCCTCCTTTGTTTAGAGATCTCTATCCACTAAATAAGGATAAAGAAAAGCTTCCACCCTCTTTGAGGGAGTGGGTTGTTTCTGAAATAATCCAACTCAATGCTAAAGACAGTCAGCTGTTTAAGAGAAAGTTAAGACATACAAAGAAACCAGGGCCCTACAATATTCAGAAAGGGAGATTTCTGACAAATTCTACATGAGATTAATGTAAATTGGTAGGATGAATTACTAAGAGTGGGGCTTACAGAGGACAAAACATCAACTAGCAAAAACTAGAAATAAATAGTTCAGATGCCCAGTAAGTAAGAACATCTTTCCTGTGATACTTGCTAAATGTCACTGGAAGGAACCTTGAAGCCCACCCAGATCCTGCTCCTTGCCATGTGATCAGGCTGCACAGGGCTGCATCCAACCCGGCCTTGAATGCCTCAAGGGATGGGGCATCCACAATTTTTACAGGCAGCCTGTTCTAGTGCTTCACCATCCTCAGAGTAAAAAATTTCTTCCTAATATCCAATCTAAGTCTCCCCTCTTTTAGTTTAAAACCATTCCCTTGTCCAATCTCTACCATACCCTTTAAGAAGTTAGTCTCCCTCCTATTTATAAGCTCCCTTCAAGTTCTGGAAGGCTGCAATGAGGTGCTCTCAGAAACTTCTCTCCAGGTGGAAGGAGCTCAGCTCCCTCAGCCTTCCTGCAGAGGAGAGGTGACCCTCCTCTGGGCCTGCTTCAATAGTTCTGTCTTTCTTATACCAAGAAAGCACTGCAGGGCAGACACAAAGCACCAAAAGATAAAGTATTCTAAGTTAAAGAGTTTAACTATTTTAAATAAGTTTAGCAGAAACTTAATGAATATTCTGAAGATGGACATAGAAGTTACCTCAGCTTGCTCTGAAAAAGAGTTGCTTAAGCAAGAATGTCATATTTGCCGTTATCTCCACAGTTATCTCCACAGCAGTTGACAACAAATTTTAATTAAATTACATGTAAACAAGCTTATGTTGTTCAAGCAGGTGTAAAAAGAAAAAAGATAAAAGAGGAAAATCTGTGGCCATTATGCATGTAAACAGTGTACTCAGGAATACATTACATAAAGCAATTAAAACATACATCCAATCTGTCTTGCTGATTTACTTGTAGTCTTGTCCAAAGATTTGGTAACTGTAGTTTTAGTCAAATTCTTTGTCTGCTAGAAGTGGTTCAAGACTTGCTTATACTACGGAGTATTGATGGCATAGTCTAACATAGCTTGATTCTTTTAAAAGAACAAGAGATTTCAAAACAGCAGGTAGAGAAGCTACTGAATGTGCTAATGGAAAAATTCATTTAGATTTAAAGCCTCACACGAAGACAACAGTTTCCCCCTCCTTGCTATTCAATCACTGCAATGAGCAAAAGCAGAAGGATTAAATAAACTCCAGAAGCAGCAGCATCAAATTAGTTACCTGAAAGCCAATGACTTGTAGCTCATTATGAAGATCATCAAGAACTCTCCTACCATCAAATATAAATGCAGGCTTCAGCATCTTTTTGTGAATACGCTCATAATCCAACTCCTGTGAAAAGCAATTAAAGCAGACACAGGAAATAAGTTACCTAACACTATCTTTCATTCTTCACTTAAAAGGTCGATGAAGGTGACATTTTTACCTTAAACATGTCCCATTCAGTGCAGATTACAAGGGCATGAGCTCCATCACAGGCTTCATATGGATCTTGACTTATAGTGACCAACCGAGACACTGTAATAGAAGGAAAATAAAGTCTTGTCCTGCAAGAATCTGGTGCATCCCAACACGATTTTCCTTTGTCAGCCTACTCAAAAACTCTTGGGTTGCTTATCTAAACATGTCTTCTGTCACTACATTTGTCACTTTGATTTTACTTGATGAAAGCAGCTTGTATCCAGCATTCGAACAGATAGAATCCAGGCACTTAAGTGTTTGAAGTTAAGCATTCAAATTTAAAGAACACAGTCAAATCAAAAGTATCTCCAGAATTGGGACTTACTACTGACTGATCAAATGCCAACTCTTACCAAGGTCATTGCTTGTACAATATCAGTACTTAACACTTATTTAATTCTCAGTTCACACCACATTAAGTAAGTCTGTGTGGGCTGCATTTGTTTGCCTCAGAAGCCTAAAGGCAGCCCTTCCATCACCCTCAAGGTCCAAGGAGATGTGAGGTAACATACACCTTCCTCATCACGGGCCATTTTCCTCACTTCTGGAAACAACTTGATCTAGGTCTTCTCCCCCAACCACACACCATCACTGGCCTGTCCCTCCCACTAAAGGGAAGTAAGAAAAGGGGTCCTAAAAACCCTTTGTTCCTCCAAGAGACTTGTAGGGACTTGTAGTCAAAGACAACTACTTTAAAAACTCAGCCCGTAAGAGCAAAGGGGAAAGAGAGAATACTGTAATCTTTGAGCTAGGCCAATCTTCTACTTTGATAAGTGTAACTAACAGCACATCATTTCCATGGTGAAAATGAATACATAATATTTAAATAGACCTTGTGTAATTTGAGAGCAGAGTTTCTTCTGGCTGTGGTGTGGGGAGGATAGTGAGCGTAGAAATTTAATGTAAGCATCCTTACCTTGGTTGTCTTCTGAGACACCTGGATGTGAGAGATCCAAGATGATTTGTTCCTTCGGTACTTTAGGGTCATAGATGTGGAGCTTTGCTCCTTCATCCATTAAATACTTGCTAATGTAGATGCTAGATGACTCTCTGCAGAAGAGAATTAAACAGTTAAAGAACCAACTGGTATGTTTTAATAATACAGATCCTCAATTGTCGTGAGGCTCAATGTCGGGGCTTTATACTAGTTTTATATGAAATGTCTTAGCAATAGTCTATGCCAGCAGCAAAATAAAAGTCTTGAGGAAGGTCAAGGAGAGTAATTTTAACAAGTTTGCATCTCTTTTGCTGAATCATATAAGAGAGAGGTACCAAGTCCCAGTACTGCTACTGACTGTAGGTAAGAAGGCATCACTCCTAAATATGTCATGCAAATTGTACTTGGAGAGAACTGTATCAAGACTGTCTCTTATAAAAAAAGAGAATTAGCCATCCCTGGGGAAACAAAGATGGCATTTTGGCTTCTAATAGCAATTTGAGTCAGCTGCAAAAGTGTTAGCATTCTTTACTGGAAGGACTCAAGAAGCAGGTTTTACTTTTGCAAATTAGGGACTAAATAGAACAAGTTATCTGTTTAATTTTTGAACGATTCAGGTATGTTGTAGAGATCAAGAATCAACTGTCTCACCCATTTAAGAAGCACATAATACAGATCTTTGATTCAGACGAGGTTAAGGATCCCATATCTGACCTGCTTTTTTAACAGAACTGAAATTGTGGGGTTTAGCTGCACAGCTGTATCTAGTGCAGGGATTCCACGTTAATTAATTGCATTCACTTTCTTACCTTGTGTCCCCAGTATCTTTTTTGAATGCAAATCCTAAGATAGCAATCTTCTTATCAGCGACAGTATTGAACAAGCTGTCAATAATACGGGAAGCAAATCTCCGCCTCTGGTAATCGTTCATGTCTATCACCTGAAGTTATAAAAAGCATTATGGCTCAGAAGAGAGCTATTAACTATAAACCAACTGTACTACTGACCAAGCCAAACTAGTCACAAAAGTTTAATAGATGCTTGAGAAATGAAGTATTTTTATTTAGTGTCAAATAATCCAAAAGGTAAGTTCAGTTAACTTAAAACTTGAGACACATACAATTTTAATCCATGACTGCAGATGCATTTACAGACACACACACATAATCTAGTTGAAGGGCTAGATTTTTTGTTATTTTATATATAATTTAAAAGAAAAAGTTAAAGAAAAAAAAAAAAAAAAAAAAAAATCACAGTCCAATTCTAGGCAGAAATGTGGAAAGCAGTTGCAGTGTTAGAGTGTCTGATGTTACCTGGACACCCTTTTGCTAGACCTATACTTCCCTACATGCCTCTGGCTACTGTAAGAACTCTGTATCTTATAATCCACTTTAAGAGATTTCAGTTCACAAAACTTACATTGTTGAAGCAGACTTTGAAGCGCCTTGCTTTTGATGTCATACGGAAATGTGTTCATCCAGCCTGATTGTTCTAGTGCTTTCCTCCCAGCCTGCTTCATACTTTGACCCCCAGCCTTTAACTCACATGGCACCAGATCACTAGTAGAAAAGGGGAAAAATGCTCCTCACCTAGTCAATATTTACCACAAACTGAAAAGAACTATTTTTTCCCTATTGATTTTGAGATTTTCAACCCAAAGCAGGAATCAACAGCAACCGGCAAAACATACAGTGTAAAAACTGCAGTTGAAGGATGGTGGCAAACTAGGTTTCTTCAAGTAAAAGAAGTGAAAGCAGTGAGATTCTGTAATTCAGCAAGGTGTTGTAAAGGGAAGGACATGACAGGCAGTGATGGGCAACATAGGGATAGCAGGCAACAGGGCAAGAGAGACATTTCTTTCTGTAGGTTCAAGTGCTGAAGACGACAGTATTAGAGAACCTTGTCCTGCCTAAAGGCCAGACAGAAGAAAGTTTGGATTCTGGGACTGCTCTGATCAGCATGTCCTTCAGACTTTGTCCAAGGTCCTCCATGTACGTGCACAGGGCTGAACTACTGACACTGTGATGCTCACATTGCCAAGGAAGAGACTCACAGAGTTGCTTATTCAGGTGCTTATGTGTATTACAGGATGACCCAAGCAGCATGGGCTGAGGTAGATAGATCTCTGCAAGTTGACATTGCTCTGAGGAAGCAAGAGGTAAGAGCTCATATTACATGAGCACAGCACTCTCTACGTTATCCAAGCTGTGCAGCAGCCATTCTTGCTATCTGATTTGACCATAGCCTAAGTGACTTAGAAACATTGCAAATAAGTGCTCTCAGGAGAGCAGGAAAGCATTATGAACAACTAGTTTAAAGTGGTTTAAGAATACAACCCCTTTGACTTGTGCTAAATAAAACCCGAAGAAGGACAACAAATCCAGCGAAGGGTCTGGAGCACAACTTTCATGAGGAATGGCTGAAGGAAACAGGATTGTTTATTCGGCAAAAAGGAGGCGCAAGGGAGACCTTATTTTCTACAGTGATCTGAAAGGAGGTTGTAGAGAGGTGAGGGTTGGCCTCTTCTCCCTGGTAAGAATGATGGAACAAGAGGTAACAGCCTTGAGGTGCACCAGGGCAGGCTTGGGTTGGATATTAGGAAAATCTCTTCAAGAAAGTGGCGAGGCAGTGGAACAGGCTGCCCAGGAAAGTGGTGGAGTCACCACCCATGGAGGTGTTCAAGAACCAAGCAGATGTGGCACTGAGGGACATGCTTAGTGGGCACAGTGGGGATGATGTGACAGCTAGATTACATGATTTTGAGGTCTTTTCCAGCCTTAATGATTCTGTGAAAACACTCACGGAGAAAATGGTAAGTGTTCCTATACACTTGAGCTGCTAAGATATCAAGGTTGTCTTCTCAGAAGTATACTTGGAACCAAAAAGTCTAAACTGAAGTCGTCCCTTGTCTCTTTCAAGACAGTGTTTTTTCCCCTCCATTATTCACTATGTTATTAAGATAACATGATTAATTCCTGCTCCAAGGATTGTCTATCATCTCCTCATATCTTACACAGATTAAAAGCAACACAAACAGATCTCAGGGTCTAGACTCCTTCCCTGCTATACCAGAGCACCGAAGTTCTGCATTAAATCAGACCCCTCCTGGGCACCTGCACAAGGTTCATGCAGTATGTTAGACTCAGCTCCAATGACAGTACTGCAGTTCTCTCTACCAGGGACTGGACTATCCTAATGAAAGCATTTATGGAACATACCAAACCAAACATCTTCAGAGGCAGACAGCATAAAATCCAAGTCTTTCTTTTCTCAAGCAGAGCAATATGTATAATATCATTATATTAGATATAAATATATATAACACAAGGTTCCCTGAGACTGTTTTTAAGTAGAAAATTAAAAGTGACATCCAACCAGGCAACAGATAACTAGAAAGCATTATGAGGGACTTTTTGGGGAAATAGACTCCTGCAAAGCCAGAGCCAGGTTATGCTTGTGCTTCACATTTTCTACTACTGCTTCTAGACAACTTCACAACTCATTTGCTCCAGACAAGTTAATTAACTCCAAACAAAGGCTAAGATTCCACAAGTATCAAGTTACTTTTTTTTAGGGTTCTCAGCCCAACCCCCCAGCATGGCAAGTGTTTTTTAAAAGTATCCCTGCCTTAACACCAAGGCACAGAAGAAGCATGTGGACAATGCTCTAAGGCTGAACATTGAAGAAATATCATTCTGTCAAAAAATAAATACAGAAGTTTAAAACTTGTACCTGTTGCCAGTAACGGGCTACTTCAGGTAAGTTCAGTGCCTCACAAAGGTACACTAAATTCAGGACATCTTTCTGAAAACAGCTGCCTCCAAACCCTGAAAAAGAGGACTGTTACTTTACAAGTGGCTTGTATTAGCAAGGTACTACTCCAATCTTTGTAATCAAGTAGCTTTTGGCAACCGTTGACAGCATTATAGTTTTTCTCCATCATATCACTGCTGGTAAGTGGAAAACCTTACTAATCTCCCAGAATCAAACTCCTCAACCTGCTTTTTGTCAGTTACAAAATCCTGAGGTTTGCTTCAGATCCCATTTAAATCAAAACAAGATTTAAGCCAGGCTCAGAGAAACAAAGAGCCTCTAGACAGCAGAATTATTTACTTTCCAGTAGTACCACCTAGAGAGGTATGAATATTTCTCAGAAGAAGCATGTAAAGGGAAGGTTATGTTCTCCCCTTCCTCCAAATGGCTATCTATTCACAGGCAGGAACCAAAGATCACAAATAACTAACAGAGGTTTGAAACAATTAATAGAAGGATCCTTGACCCTTAGAACTCAGTCCCAGAAGCAACACAACATAGGCTGAATTATAATAACCCAGTGGGAATTCTGGTAATGCATTTACTGTTTACTTTCACTCCTGCATGTACTTAGAAAAGATATTCAATATCATTATTCTCAAGCCATGCTTTCTAGCATGAAGGCTGTATGATTTAATCTCATTCCATAAGTCTCAAAGTTTCTTGTAACAGTCACCACTACCACATCTTATTACAGAGGTTACAAGTGGCCATCACGTGTTCTAGAGACATCCCCTTTCCTCAGGCCACTAGAAGCCATTCCTAAAGAAAACTGGGAATACATTTTGCAAAGTGCCATCATCTGTGACACCTAGGAGAAAAGAAAAAAAAGAAAGAAAAGAAGATTGTTTCACTCACCAACACTGGCTTTCAGGAACTTATTTCCAATTCTTTGGTCTGTTCCAATAGCTCTTGCTACTTCTTCAACATCTGCTCCTGTAGCTTCACACAGAGCACTGATCGAGTTAATGCTGCTGATTCTTTGGGCAAGGAAAGCATTAGCTGCCTGAGAATTTAAAAACAAAACAAAACATAGTAGAGAGTACATAGAGCTCAGTTCTTCTGGAAACCAGGATGCCCACAGATCAACAAGGAGCTAGATACTAGAGTAATTCCTCTGTCAATACAGTGTCTCAATGGCTCCATTGAGACACTAAGTAGCAGTAAGGAGTGTAAAAGTTCCCATTACCTGGCACTTATACCAGCATAACAACGTAGTACTAAAGTTGCAGAGTTGGAAACATTTTACAAAGGTAGCTGCTCTACTGGCTATTAGTAATAACTCCTATTATTAACAAGAATAAAAGGCAAGGAGCTGATATCATCTGTTAACTCAACTGAGATCTCTGGAAAAGATAAATATCCTTTGACATATACTGGGCCCTCCAAATCCCAGATGTCTTTCCTATCTGCACCACCCACTTTTCATAAGAGTCTGCCTAAGAGCTTTGTCTCCCTTGCATCCTTCACTGATTGCAGTAACAGCAATGAGTAACACTAACCAGTTTAGAGAGTTCTGACGACCAGGTATTGGTCGTGAGGATTTTTTCTTTAGGCACCCAGTGCTCATAAACAGCACAAAGAGCACGGACAGCTTTCTGTCCTTCTGGAGAATCATCACCACCAATGAGCACCCTATCTGGGTTTTTCAAGTCCTTGATTGCTGTTCCTTCTGCAAGGAACTCTGGGTTAGACAGCACCTGTAGGCACAGAAATAAAGTGTAAAACAAAGAACAACAGACAAAAAATAATGATTTGAAAACAGCAGCCTGCTTAGAAATCTGATATTATGCTTACCTGCAAATCCAAGTCAGGCTTAGTATTAGCATCAAATATTCGACGAATGCTCTCTGCAGCACGTACTGGAACCGTGCTTTTCTCAGTGACAATCTTATAGCCATTTGAGTTTTGTACAATTCGTCTAGCACAAGCTTCAATGTATTTCAGATCAGCTGCTCGCCCTTTTCCCATCCCGTAAGTCTTGGTGGGAGTGTTAACCTAGTTACAAAAACACAGTCAGGGAAGAAATGTTTTAGGTCTCTTCTCAATTTCACCTATTCAGTAGGTCTTATGTTATGACAGATGCTTTGCTTCCCTGAGCCCAGTTTGGTCCTACCTCACAATTACTCTAGTTGCCATATCAGATGAACAGCTATTAGCTTTCTTAGTCACCATTTTGTTCTCACTGGCCTCTATTCAAACAGAATTCAAACAAGAGCAATTCATAGCAGCTCTGCAGGCTTCTGCAAAACTTAAGCCTTATATTCTAGACACAGCAATAATTTCTTTATGCTTACAGACAGTCATCTTTTGTTTCCTGTCCCATGCTGTAAGTATAAATATTACATGTAGAATCTTGCAACCAGCAAGGCAATTATGCTTTCAACCTAAGTGTAAAGCTGCTGGAAATCATTACAGTGAAGTACACAGAAAGCATGCAGGAAAGCACTTCTAGATTAAGACAGAGGATCCTTTTCACTACAGGCTCAAAGAAATAGCAACAATGTGTAAAACACAACAGCATTTCGTCAGTCAGTGACAGGAAGCCAGGTGGCAAAACGTGGGTTGTATCAGTGGCAGTCATCCAACCAAGCAGCATTCACTCTACCCCTCAATGGAGAAAAAGTCAGAAAGAGAGCTCTGTACTGAGGTGCCCTAACAAAGAGGGGACCCAAAAAAAGGAGGACTTCAGTAACAAAACCCAACTGTGACCCAGCAAAACAAACAGAAGTCAGTTCTTTTAGGCTTCACATTATAAGCAGTATGACCTTTCCTGATAAGGTTATGTCTGACTGAACCTGCTTCCTAATGGTGTCAATAGCTTAGAAATTGTGATAAATTTAATGAAGGATATTATGGGAAAACCCTGCCAGCTCCTATTTCATTAATTCACAGGATTTTCAAATCTTCTAGAAATAAGCCATCTTTGTAACCAGTGATCAGACTGGTTACATCCCAATCTAGGATATTTATATTTTAATATAAATATTAAAATCCCGTGGACCTCAGTGCATTACAGACAGAACTGCACTATATTCTGCTCTAAGGCCCCCTGCACCTTGCCAAGACAAATATGGGCATTATCATTTTGACCTAGGGCCTGTTGGTCTGCCAAGTACTCTCCTGGCTAGAGGAAACAGATTGCAAGATAACACCAATATAAAAAGTTTACTACTTTTCCTACAGTACACAAAGGAAACAAAAGTCAGTGGCACGGTGACACAGCATGGCTAAACGAATCCTTGTGAGAAAACAGAGGATTCTTCCTAGTTTTGTTAACACAGCAAAAAGAATAAATAGAAACTCACAGAAATAAATACAAGATCAGCCTCTCTGATGGCATCATCTATACTGGTGGAAAAGAAGAGATTTCTTCCTCGACAGGACTCCACCACTTCTTTTAACCCCGGCTGAAAGAAAAAAAAGGAAAAATAAAAACCACACAAAAAAAGAAAACAGTTGAGGTAACAAATGACGTACATTAGTCACTCAGGGCACACAGAGCAGTCAAACTGCTATGCACAAACAGATGGAATGTCTTTTCAGGTACAGCGACGCTTTTACTCCATGTTGCATGTTTTCAGTCTGTCAAATGTGAAGTACCCTCTGCAGCTCTATATAGGGGAGAATTAAAAAAAAAAAACAAAACAAAACCAAATCCTGTTTCTCAGTCAAAACACTCAAACTGTAGTCTCAAAGATTTCATCCACACTGAGCTGCTATTCACATAAGAGATTCTAGGCGTCAGTTATTTACATGCTTAATGCTGTTACCATCAGCAACAAATAGCATCTCTCTACAAGTGGTTCTTTAAGTAAGGTCAAGAAGGAATCTTAAAATATTTCCAAGGCTGCAGGCACAAAGAGGTGTTCATAGCTCTCCTTGTCCCTCAGCCACACAATCCATGATTTCCTAAACTCACGAGCTCAAATCTAATGAACTGACTCAGCATTTAAAATAAATATTCTCCCATCAAATTATCAAGCCCAAACCCTCTTGAAGAAAGGTTGAAAGACAGGAGATAAAGACAACACCTTTTGTCAACTGCTCGTGTTTGGACAAGGTTAAGTTTATATCAGAACCACACCTGCATTGTGAAAGCACCACAGGCATGACTTGGTGAGATTCTTTCCAGGGCTTAGAGCACTGGAATACTTTCCCTTCTCTTAACACATCCACTTACAGGTGCATGAACAATCCTCTGTAGTGGAATGGACTATGGAATGTTTTAATTGATCTGTGATAAGCATACCCAAATGAAGCCTTTATGTTTTGTTTGAAAAAAATCAAATCACACATTGTAAACTGGTAATCAGTCTCCAGCTTGTTAAGATGCCCATCATGACAAGGGTGAGTAATCACTAGGAAGGCAAAAGTTCACTGTACAGTGAGAGGGAGGAAAAAAAAAAAAAAAAAAAAAAAAAAAAAAAAAAAAAGAAGCAGAAGCTTTCTTGTGCAAGACATTTTTGCTGTCTTACTTTATATCAAATATTGAACTGAAGAGGAAAGCAAAGGTCAACATAAGCAGACCAATCCATCAGACAGTCCCAACTGTAACCCCTCTAGGATGTAGATAAAAAGGTAGCTCACTAGAAAGTAAAAGAGTTTCCTTGTACCTTCTGACACCGTGAAGAAAAAGTTGAAACAAGAACAAATTGAGTAATAAACAGAAAGCCCTGTGTCTGCAATGACTCAAATTTACAACAGCCTGAACTAATGCTTGGCAGTTTTTGTACATTCTTCATAAGTAAAAGACACCATTCCAAGAAACAGATGTGGGGTTTTTTTTTGTTTTTTTTTTTTTTTTTTTTTTTTTTTTTTTTTTTTTTGGCATTTTTTTTAAAAAAAAATTAAAAAAAAAAAAAAAACAAACAAACAAACACAAAAACAAAAAAATGCTCAGTCTAAATGTTAATCCAAAACAGAGTACCTACTTTCGTGACCTTCATTCAAATCCTGCTTGCTAATCTGAGCACAATACACATTTTCCTATGAATACTTATGACAAAGGAAGTCTACTTATCTCTGTTCAGAGTCATGCTATAGGCTGCGGCTTTTCCCTCCTGCAAACCAAACCTTAGAGCACATTATGATTAAACAAGGTCCCAGGAGAAAGTCAGCATCATTGAGCGCAACTAGAAAAACAGTTTCATTTTTCATTACTAGGCTCTTGGTACAGAACCTGGATACTTTCCTGCACCAGACATATTCAGTTACTGTTTCAAGAAATTGGTTTAATGAGTGGCAGTGACACACGGCTGTTCCAGAGTGCTGTCTTTAAAGGACATTGCTATGCCACACTTCTCAAGCTTGGGAAGAGGGCCACGTGAAAAGTGCTGTGTGGTGGGAGGGAAGCAGAACAACTGAGACAATAGGGGACAAGTTTACCTCGTAGATGGGGAGCGTGTCTGAATTCCAGGCATTGATTCTAGCTTCGTTGACATCTACAACAGTGACTTGGATTTTAGGACACATCTGTGCAATAACGCTGCACGTTGGCCCGCCGACATAGCCAGCACCGATGCAGCAGATCTTCTTAATCTCAAACATGATTGCTCTAGGAAGAGAGGGGTGGGGGAAAAGAACCAGCAGTTACAAATGAAAGTCAGCGGCCAGCCATCCGAGCGAAAGGATCTCGGATCGTCAGCGCTCTTCTATCGGGCTGCCACAAAGAAGCGCTTTCAGGAGACCGGCTGTAAGGGGCGAGCTGCAATTTACGAGGACGGCTTTCAGACCTGCCCGCGCCAGCCTCATTCCTCAGGCACCGAGGAAACGTTCCTGCGGTCCGTTTGAAAGCCGGCAGCTCAAGCAGCGCCTCCAGCCAAGGAGCCGCCCGGGCCGCGGGGCGCCAAGGGGCAGCGAGCAGCAGTGAGCCAGGCCTCATCCGGAGGGATGGGCGGGAGGCCGGGCCCGGCACCGCAGCCCCTGGCCGGGAACGGAGCGGCCGGGAACGGAGCCACCAGCCCCGCAGCCGCCAGCCCGAGGGGAAGAGGCCCCGCCGGAACGCCTACCGCGCCGCCAACCCCGAGGACTCACCGCCTGCGGCCGCGGGTCCAAGCGGAGCGCCGAGGCGGAGATGCTCGAGAAGCTCAGGACGACGCACCGCTAGGCGCGGGGCGGCTATTTAAAGGGCCGCCGCGGGGCTGAGGCGGCCGCTTCATCCCGGGGAAGCCGAGCGAGGCCCGGCCCCGGCTCCTCCCCGCGCAGCCGCCCCGCCCCGCCCCGCCGCCGGCGAATGGGCGCCGGACAGCTCAGGAGGCTCCGCGCAGGCCCCGCCGGGGCCCCCGGGCGCGCCTGGGGTCTTCGGGCCCGGGCTGGGCTTTGATGTGGAGGCTTCGCTCGGCCCCGGCCACGGGAAGGAGGCGAGCGGTGCCGCTGCCTCAAGCAGCCCGGCGGGCTCCGGCAGGCTGAGCTGCGGCGCCGAGATTCGCGCCTCGCCGGCCGGGGCGGCTCAGGCGGTCACCTTTCCTGCCTCGGGCGGCTCTGACCAGAGAGCTGAGTTCCGGTGGCAAAAGATGCCCATGAATCACTTTTGGCCTTCCAGCTGCGCTCTCTGGAAAAGTCGTCCTTCCTTTTCTCTCACGTAGTACAGAGCGCTCTCAGCAAGGATAGGTGGTTACAAAGTGGATAGGTAATAACAGAAATACAATGTGTGAAGTCCGCGTGGCAAACGGTGCCGTGACAAGGCGGTGCAGTGAACTCTGCTTACCTCCCTCGCACTGAGGGCACTGCCCTGCTTATGCGGGGGCACTGCCCGACTATCTGATGGCCCTCTGTGTTAAAGTCCTTCGGTGTTGCTCATAAAGTGCTGCCTTGTTCTCATGTGATATTTTCACCCATAGCTATTAAAGTATGTTAAGAAGAGATCAGAGCTGTTGCTTGTCTTTTATACTTTCCTTTGGTACCATTTCTCTCCCTGGAAGGCCCTGTTCCCATGTAAGCTGGAACACATCCCAGCTCCCTGTCCCTTGGCAGAGGTGCCATGGAACACACAGATTTCAGCTGAAAGAACCAACTCAGGTGTTGGCCCCAGCACGGCGCACTGCTGAGTCAGTGCGGTTAGCCAGGGCTCCCTGCAAAGGTGTCAGGTTCACTGCATTTATCCTGAAGTGAAAACAAGTAATGCCTTGTCTCACTGATGATTTGCACAGGTGTCTCAATTTTGATCACATCCTTTTTTTTTTTTTTTTTCCCCAGGAACATAGAGCCTATGCAAAGCAAGGTGAGTTCCCACTACTGAGTCAGTCCTACAGCCTTATGTATTCCATTGTCTTCATAAACTCAGTCTGTCTCCTTCGGTCTCAAAATAGCCACAAACGCACAAATTTGTATTAGACCAGGCTTCATCTTGTCTGCACATTAAGCGTGTTGTCTATGGAGCAAAGGACCTTCCTGATAGCCCACACTGCCCTGCTCCCTGCTGGAGACTTTACCTTGAGTTCCCTTTGCCAGAACAGTTCTAGATCATCCCCAGAAAGATGCTGCTTTTGGTGTTTCCTCAGAACGTTTGCTGTGGTTTTTGTTAGGGTACTGTGGGAGGAAAAAAATATGGGGCTTGAAGTCACCAGAATGAGAACTGCGCAGATCATGTTTCGTTACTGAATAATCTAACTTCTAAATGACTCTGCGTGTTTAATTTTTTTGTTTACAAGAACACAGAGTGTTTTACAACACAGCACAGAAGCAATAAGGCTTCTGTTAGGCTTCGGGGTGCACCTTTGAACTTTCTGCCAGAGCTCACTGCTAGGCAAGCACACCTCCAGGCAACAGGAGAACAGATGAGACTTCTGCTGGCCACATTTTAAAATACGTGTGAATTCTGCTCCATTTTTTGAAGGCGTGGTGTGAGTTGTGAGTTCTTTTGCATCAGGAGTAGTAACTGAACATGAGAAATGAGGTTTTGTGTGTGTTTTAATTTAGCATTGCCTGATAACTAGATCCCACGGCTCCCTCCTCCAGCACACTGGCCAGTCCAGACGTCTGACAGCCTTTCCTTCCTGCCATGCGGGAAGTGCTGCACCCAGCTTATGGCTATATTCCCTTCTGGGACACAATGCTTAAAAGCCAGGTGAGAGAAAATGAAGGTCTGCAATGGCCTCTTCTTGTGAGAAATTCAACAATCATTCCTTTCAATTAGTAAAACATAATGTATAAAACCTGAAGCTTGACAAATTCCAGTTCAGGACACTCTAATAGTGAAGATAAAAAAGCATTGAAAAAGTTCAGGGATTGTCCACCTCTAGAAAGTTTTTCTAAAAGATATATATATATATATATATTTAGTGCAAAAAAAAAAAAAAAAATAAGAAAGGTAAATCCTGTGCCATACAGGGTTTCAAAACAGATGTTCAGAGTAGCCATATTTGGCTTTCTAACTGATGAGTTTAATATGTATATGATGCAAGATTTAAACTAAAATGTTCCCTTAGCTGGTTGCTGAGAGGTATTTTGGCAGGGCTTCCATTCAGCTAAACAACAGTGTCAGTGAAGGACTGCCACCATCCTAAGTAAGTAAGCTTCCTGCAAACTGAGTCACAAGTCTACCCATAAGATTCGTCTTCTTTTTTTTTTTTTCCTTTGAATCGAAATTGAGAAAGCTACTGATAGGACTAATGAATCCCTTCCTGCATACATTTTAAAGACCATCATTTGCATAATAATTTAACTAATCTATACTTAGAAGAGCATTGCTCACACATCCATGCTGCCAGATCCTCTGCTCAGATCCTGGTGCTGCTGAGCCTGCACTGTACTTCACAGAGGCACAAGGATAGTGAGGTGACTACCATGATTCATACACACCTGCTTGAGGAGAAGAGGTATTTTTACAGGTAGTTGTGAGTTTTAGGATACAGCTACACATCAGATAGTGTTCATAAAGCAGTCAATAACCCAGTGTTGGGAGGTGAACATAAAATGGGAAGGTATGCAAGTTTTAACAATGCATTTCTCAAGGTCCCCAGAGGTACATCTTCTGTGTATGTTGAGACCTGCCACCATCTCTCCAGGCCTAACTCAGTTACCTGTCTCATACCCACTCACCCTTCCTTAAAATGAGCAGTCCCTATGCTACATGCTCTCAGAGACCTGATCTTCGACGTGCACTTGAAATACAACCCCAGCAGAACCGAGCTGGATGTGAGCCAAAGCTTTCAGAGTGCTTCATTCAAAAAACTTGGCCAATGCAAGTGTTGATGTTGTTTTAATGTAACAGCTCAGCGGCCAGAGCACGTAGCAGTGCCGGCTGTGTGCTCTGTTTGTGTGAGGAATGGCGCAGCGGGCTGGAGGCCACGTCCCTGCCTCCCTGGCAGCTGCGGACCTGAGGCGATCCGAATGTTGGTGCTCAGCAGAGGAACCACCCTTCACCTCTGCATACAAAGTGTTACATGACGCCAGAGAGATTGCAATTTATGAAGAACTTGTAGGATGGGGGGGGGAAGAAGAGAAAATGAGTGTGTGACAGTGTAGCTTCCAGGTCAGCACCTTGGTAGCAGAGGTGAGGTAAAGGATAAGCGAAGAGCCCTAGGCATGAAGGAAGTTTCGTGTCCATCTAGTGAGTGCATAAAGTCAGGTTAAGATTTGAGCTGATCATTAACCAAAACCAGCTGTTTGTGCAAGCAGCTTGGTACACTGACATCTGACACAGGCCATTGTCCGCCTGGCACTGTTGATCACAGCCCAGCCCAGGGGCTGTCCCACGTGTACTGTGTGGTCTGAGCTGCAGGCACTCCTGGAGGACTTGTCCACAGACCTACTGGACCTGTGCCTGAATCATGCTTTGTGCTGTGCAATGCTGAGAGGAAGGAAGGAGATGCAGCTGAACAGATTACACAGGGCATGTAGGATTGGGCCTGTGCGCTCCTCTGGAAAAGGCTCATGCAGTTGCATCACAAAAACCATATGGCAGTTTTGTACACTGTAAAGAGGACACGTGGCTGAGTGCCTTTTCTCCCACATGTATTCAGAGCCAGCTGCAACATGACTGGGCACGGTGGCACAGCCTCAAGTCATTGCGAGGCAGAGGACGTGGTTCTGCTCAGCATGCTCATATGCACGCACTCTACTCACCTCTACCTCTGCAGCTCACCAGAACCTTGACTTTGCTGTTGGGCTTAACTCTTAACAGGCCTAACAGTTCATGATTAATCTCATGCGATGCTTTTGTTAGTGACAACCAGCACCCTCAAACTGCAATTATAATTTGTTGTAAAATGCAGCAAGTTTTTGGCCAGGGTCCACAAACCTTTTCATACATCTGGACAACTTCAGCTGGACTGAAAGACAATATAGCAATATAAATAAAACCCCAAAGTCATTCAGGCTTAAAATAATCTATAAAAATCAAAGGAAGATTATTCTGAAAGCTGAGAATGTCTTTTCAAACGCTATGCTTTTATTTCTTGCACAACAAAGCTTTGCTTTCCAGTATATGACTTTCCTCTAATTAGATTCTTTAAATCTTTCCATATACACAGAAATTGTTCATATTTCCTCTCATTATAGCTGATTATAGCTGAAGGCCTCATCCACTGTATCCACTATTTAGTAAATACTTTTTTTTTTCTTTCCTTTTTTTTTGTTTCCCCTTTACTCTGCACTGGTGAGGCCTCACCTAGAGTACTGTGTCCAGATATGGAATCCTCAGAACAGGAGAGACGTGGACCTACTAGAGCACATCCAGAGGAGTGCCACAAAAATGATCCAAGGGATGGAACAGCTCTCCTACGAGGACAGGCTGAAAGAACTGGGGCTGTTCAACCTGGAGAAGAGAAGGCTCAGGGGAGACCTGAGAGTAGCCTTTCAGTACCTAAAGGAGTGGGTACAAGGAAGAAGAGGACAGATCCTTTAGCAGGGTCTGTTGTGATAGGAAAAGAGGAAATTGTTTCAGACTAAAAGAAGGAAAATTTTGATTGAATTTAAGATATAAGTTTTTCACAGTAAGAGTAGTGAGAAGAACTTAGTAAGTAAGGGTACTGGAAGAACTTGTCCAGAGAGATGGTGGATGCCCCATCCCTGGAGACATCCAAGGCCAGCTGGACAGAGCTCCTGATGGAGCTGCAGGTATCCGTGTTCATTGCAGAACTAGATGACCTGTGAAAGTCCCTTCCAATTCAAAAGATTCTATGATGTTTTTCTGAAAAC